TCGGTTTTACTGAAAGGGCTGAGCTTATCAGGGTCACTCATACTCTTGCAAAGTTGGATCGCCTAAAGACTGCTAAAGCTAGAGTTGTTGAGGACGAGGACGAAGAAGATGGCGAAGAATCACTGTTCGTCCCTGAAGAAAGGCATCGAAGATTCCAAAATGTTGCGGATAATGACGAAGGTCCATCTTCAAGATCTGCCGACAGATTTGAAGATATTTTTGATGATGATGCAGGCCTTGCTAGTATGCTTCAGGAAGAGTTTGAAGATGACCCATCTAAAAAGCAAAAGCCCAAGAGAAAACGTCAAGCCCCAGCCAAGAATGCTCGAGAATTTCAAGCCAGGGAACAAGCAAAACTTCTTGAGAAAGAAAAGGCAAAGTTGCAAAAGCAAAAGGCTAGTGGTGGTAGTGGTAAAGGTGGGAAGACTAAAGCCGGACGAAAAGGCAAAGGCAGGGGCAAGGAAACAGAGAAGAAGTCCAAAAAGGGGGCTGTAAAAGTCGACAAAAATATGAAAGAGGCTCGTTTCATGGGAAAACGTGGAGGACAAGATGATATTGGACAATTGATTTTGGATAATCTAATGAATTCCGATGCGATCGGAGATCGTCTGCAAGATCCTATCTTCAATTGTGCTCCCGAACCTGACCTTGGCGGAACCCGAAACAAAGCCACCCAACTTCAACAGCTGTTCGCCAATATTCCTGAAGGCAGTAGTAAGACTAAGGGAAAATCTGACAAAGCAAAACTTTTGCAAGCTTCTCGAAGTTTTGGTTATGCACAAGTCAAAGCTGTTGATGGAAAATGGCTTGTCAAGGGAATGAAATCGACTTTGTACCATCATCAGTTGCTCGGAGCACAGTGGATGGTTTCTAGAGAATTGAGTTCTGAACCTCCTCATGGTGGTCTACTTGCCGATTCAATGGGTCTTGGTAAGACTGTGCAAACTCTGGCTTGCATGGTTGGCAATCCACCCACTGATGAAGATAGAAAGCGCGGAGTAACGGCAACATTGATCGTTGTTCCATCTTCAGTCATCTCCCAATGGTTAGAAGAAATCCGGAACCATGTCCACGAAAAAGCATTCCCAAAGGTGATGCAGTACAAGGCATCAATGAATATTCCCGAAGCTGTCCTCAAAGATTTAGACATAGTCGTTACTTCTTACACAGAAGTTATGAAGCAATTTCCTTTCCCCGACCGTAAGGGCCGAGAAGATATTGCTAGGTATGGGTATAAAAAATGGTGGAAAAACGCACACGACCAACTTGGTGACCTTCATAAGATCAATTGGCGTAGAGTCGTTCTCGACGAAGCTCATGCAATTAAAAACAACTCTGCCAGGACAAGTTTGGCTTGCCAAAATCTGAAGAGCGTTTATCGGTGGTGTTTGACTGGTACTCCCCTTCTGAATAGGCTCGAAGAGTAAGTGGAATTTGCCCAAATTCTTACATTTGATTGTTAGAATTCTTTTTGAACAATGGGATGGCCTCTGGCGATCAGTGGCCGAACCAGCCCTTCCATTGTTCAATTCAATTTGAGACAATCAGAAGCTGAAGTTTAATCTAGGCTTTTCCCGTACCTTCGATTTCTCAAAGCTAATTATGCAATGGATTGGAGGACTTTTCAACAATATTTTTGTAATCCTGACGCTGACGATTGTAATAATCGTATTACAACTCTTCTAAGTTATGCTATGATGCGTCGTACTATGAAGACTACGATCCTCAATCGACCAATCATTACTCTCCCTAAGCCCCACCCTGTTATGCAACAGCTCAATTTCTCCCGAGAAGAGAGGATTATTTATCGAATTGTAAGTGTTCCATGTGGTTTGGGACATTCAAAAACTGACTTTGCTACTATAGACCGAGAACCGCTTTCGGGCAAACCTTAATGTGTTTCTGGCCAACGGCACTGCTCAACGAGCCTATGGAGTCTTCTTCGTTCAACTACTTCGTCTTAGACAATGTACTTCTCACCCTTTTATGCTTGAACGCACGATGAGAGAGTCCTGGACTACCGAAGACGTTGAGCGGCTTCGCAAGGAGCTTGGAAAATTCAAGGACTCGAACGTAGCGTTCTACGAGCAATGCAAACTTTGGGTTACTGAAAGTGAAGAAGAAAGAGCGGAAGCTATAGCTAGAGGCGAAAAAGGAGCCGAAGCTATTCCTTTCGGACTTTCCAAATTTGGTGAAAGCTTCAAATTTGATAGTGCTTTGGATTCGCTTAATGAAGCAGAGCTTTATACTCGGATTACCTGTCATCTTTGCTCAGATGTTCCAAATGAGCCTGTTATTACTGATGTAGGCTGAAAAACTCAAAAGAATCTGTATCAATACTAACATCTTCCAGTGCTCACACATCTTCTGTCAGAGTTGTTTGACCAATCATCTACACTCGCAGATTCACTTGTCTGATGGCGATGATACGGCAAGAACTATTTCAACTCACCTTCTGAAGAATTCTAATAACAAGTACTAGTTCAACGTTTGTCCAAAATGTGACATAATCTTCTCCAATGCCTTACCCTATAAAGATCTCGAAATTCCTGACGATGACGGCATGGACTCTGGCCACAACCAAGCTCAAGAATCTGAAAGCTCATCTAGGTCAAGCAAGCGCCGTAAAACCAACAACGATAATTCTCGTCGTCCACATGGAATTAAAAGCAAAGGTTTGGATGCGCTTGATTTTGAACCCTTGACCAAAGATAATACTTGGGTCACGAGATCAGATTATGATCCTAAATTTCCTTTAATTCCAAGTGCAAAGACTACGGCGTTGAAAGCTTTGCTTTTGAAAGGTTTTGAAGAGGCTCCTGATGATAAGGTACGTTAATCCAAATAACACCCCATTTTCGACTTTTGAATGTCCAAATAAAAACTAAACAAGCAAACCCCTTGCCAGGTCGTTATTTATGTCCAATTTCGTACGCTAGCCCGTATCATCGGCCGCATGTGCAAAGCTGAAGGCTGGGGCTTTCTATACCTCACCGGTGACGCCTCACTCGAACATCGAAGTAAAGCCATCAAAGAATTTCGAAACCGCGACGACATTCAAATCCTAATCGCCGGTCTCAAATGCGGTGGTCTCGGTCTCAATTTTCCCTTTGCGAATCGCTGCATCTCGCTTGATCTCTGGTGGAATCACGCCGTCGAACAACAAGCCTTCGGACGCATCTTCCGCATTGGCCAAAATAAAGAAACGTGGATGACGAGACTCGTGGTGGCAAACTCGGTTGATATGCGTCTGTTGGGAATGCAGAATTGGAAATTGAAAGCGTGTGAGAAGGCGATTGATAATAATGGGTTGAGTGGTGCGAGTGGGAGTGCGGGGGGAACGTTGAATTTATCTCAGTTATCGAGGTTGTTTGGATTTTTGAAGACGGATGAGGATAATAATTTATTGAGAATTGAACCGGATTATGAGGATGGGGAGGATGCGATGGATGTGGAGGAGGGTGGTGCTTAGGGTAGGGGGAAGCGGATGAGGAGGTGGATTGGGAGGTTGTGGGGGTGGGGGTGGTGATGGTGATTGATTTGGGGGCGAATTAATATTCTTTGAAGCTTTTGGAGGCTTAATAAGTTGGGAAGCTAAGAGTTGAATGAGAGGCCATTATTTTTCTTTTTGCCAGAGGAGTTTATGGGTGCGAGATGGGAAAGCTATTATTATCATTGAGTGGTCTTAGGAAGGAATTTCAAGCGGGCGTTTTATTGATTGGCGAAAACTGAGGGGGGTGAGCGAAGGAAGGAGAGATTTCTCTTGGGGGGTTTATTCTTCAAAATACATACATACATACATACATACATATATTCTAATATCCAATACTCAATATTAAATATTCGAATAGAACCTTTAAGTTACCTACCTACCTACCGATATCGGATTTCTAAATCATCAATTTGATTCTAAACATTCGATATTCAATATCTCATTTCGTATTGAACTTTCGAGGGTTATTGTTTGGGTTTTAGTTGGAGAGTGGGAATAGGGAGTAGAGATTTTGATTCAGGATAGTCTGAGTGGTAGGGGGGTTTATGAGGTTTGTTTGGGGGTGGGAATTCGGGATTGTGGATTGGGGATTGGGGATTGAGAGGAGGGAGGGTATTTAATATATTCTATTGTTCTATTATTCTATTATTCATGTTTATTTCCGTTTCACATCCTCATTGACATTTCTTCTTCTTGATTTCTTCCTTTTGAAAAATAGTGATCGAGATGGAGATGGAGGGGTATCCATCTACTTATTAGTCTCTTCTCCCTTTGCTCTTTCCCAGTTCTTCATATTAGTTTCTTTCATCTTCTTTTGCTGAACGTTATTCTATCTCTGCTTTACAATTATCACTTTACTTTATCTAGTTTTCCTACTTTCCCACTTTCTTATTTTGCAACCTAGTTATATAGCTATCTACATATCAGATTACTCAAAACTCTCAACTCTCATTCACAAATTCACAAATTCACAATGCATTTGAAGAGAACCATCATCTTCCTACATACACACATATACTACACACCGCCAAACCTCATTTAGAAGAAATCGCGCCATCTAGAGAGAGGGGGGTAGTAGAGGTCCTCAAAAGACTCAATCCCCAGTCTCTAGTGCACATAAATCCCGAATCAAACATCACTGATCCAAAAAAATATCATTGTAAAAGGATGGTATTTAGTCTATGAGATAGATTTTAGATCTTAGGTTTATTTACTTATTTACTTCTATGTGTGTGAGGGATTTCTTTTCTATAGTTCTATTTACTTATATGCACGTCTGCAAGTCTATCTGCTGGCCTATTTGCTTGCTTGCTTGCTTGCTTGCTTGCCTGCCTGCTATATCATTCTATGGGGGTCGAATGTACAGTAAGTACAATTAGTTGAAAAACGCTGGGATATCAAAAATAGCATATGGTATCATGCATATTTCAACTCCATTTCCATCTCCTTTAATCCCATTTAGTCCCAATCCATCCCAATCTCTACCAAATTTCAACTCCTGCCCCCCTCACAACAACCACCACCCCACCACCGCTCCTAAAATCCCGAATCCCCATCCACCCAATACCACCACTCTCCCCGCCTCACTCTTCTCCGGCACATTCCCCGTGGCCGCCCCTCCCAAATACCAACTCCCAATATCCGTCAACTGTCCATCCTGATCCAGCATCGTCGCATTATATCCCACATTACTGACGCTGCTCCTAAACGATCCGAAATACGAGTAGCGATCTACGTATGGAAGACGATCGAAATATTCTGCAGAGGTGTTGAAGAAATCTTGGGTGGTGGGGAGGGGTTGGTCGTTTAGGGCGTATTCGGTGAGCCAGATGGATGTGTTGGGGTAGCTTTTTGGGGAGGGGAGTGTTAGTTTGTGTGTTTGGGTTTGTGTGGTGGATGGTGGGTAGAGATATGATAGGATAGCATTGGAAAAGTATGAAAAAGGAGAAAGTCAAGATAGAGAGTAACTGAGACAAGAGGGGCAACCAAAAAAGAAAAGAAAAACTCACGTCCCACGTATCTCCCCCATAAAACTCGCCAATCCCTCAAAATTCCCATACCAATGCAACGGAATGAAATCCACCGTGCAATTCGTTCCCGCAGCCGCACAGGCACTGAAAAAATTACTCAGCCAAGTGATTCCCCTCGGAGAACCCGTTACTGCAGGCGCCCCCGCCTTAATACCCATTGCACGCAGTGGTTCAACTTGGCTGATCCAATTTGCAGCAGCGACCGAGGGGGAGATTGCCGATCCGCCCGTCGAGGAAGTACCATCTGGTTCGTTGTAGGTGAGAACGTGGGTGATGTTGCGGCCGGTGGATACGAGTGATTTCATATCGGTGAGGAAGGTAGTCGAGGTACCCCATAGCATAGGGACGAATTCAAATTCTTCTTGCGTGGTATTGGAGTAGGCGGGAGAGGCGGCAATGCCATAGTTGTAGTACCATGAGAGATCGGAACCGGGTTGTACCCAGATTTGGTTGTCGTTGGGATATTTGGAATTAGGAACGAAGACGAGACCTCGTTTGGATGATGGACTGACCTCAGCGGCATAAACGCTGGTTATATAGCTTATGGTTGCTAGGAGAAGAGTGGTGATGAGATGCATGGTGATGGTTATGTGGTTATCGGATGATTTGATCCGGTATGATTGAGTATATATGTTTGACTGTCGTTCAATTGACCGTTGACCGTCCTTCAAATTGAAGTATTAAATATAAATATTAAGATGATTGAAATAAAAAGAATACTGTATTATCCTGAATGATAATGATAAAATCTATAACCTGAAGAAACCCAAGATATCTTCACAATGCACCTTCTTGCTAGGTTCAAAACAAGGCACAGATAGACACCAAGTTTATCAAATGAATGTAGAAATGAAGAAGATTCGACAACAAATCTATTCGTCTTTGCAACAACACAAGTGAATATGAGCAGAAAAGAGAAGAGAGGAAAGAAGTAGAACAAGAAGGAGAGATAAAAAGACAAAAGATAGCAAGAAATACCTACAGGCCATCTATACCATAAGGTAGTATTCTACTATCTCCAGCTGAAAAGCGAGCTATCTACTAGACAGCTTCCCGATTTTCTCTTCATCCGAAGCTACCTTCCTTACCTTGGTATTACCTTGGTATATTTCCCTCTCTTTACGTCGTACCATTCGCATATATTGATTCGAAATCATCCAGGCACAGTTGAATGGTTGGATGAAAAGAAATGGAGAGTTGCTGAGTTAAGAAAATGATAAGTGCACGGTCCTGTCTCGGTTCTCTTGACTTTTGTTAGTGACAGCGCTAAGATACTTTAGATCTATTTTCGGGTTCTTGAATCTTTTGACATGCTTGCTTAGAGACGAGAGAACGACATTGGATTTTATTGGTTTTAGTATAGTTTATATGTAGGTGGGTGGATGGGTAGGTATTTATTATGTTATTTATATACTTTTTATGGAATGGAGGAGTACTTCGTACCTTATAATGATAAGAAATTTCTCGTTTAGTAATTGAACAAGTTGTAACGTAGTTTATCAATGGATCAGTTATATTAATAGATCGACCACTTTTATCTTGAATTATTATTTTATATTTAATACATGTTTTCTTTATAATTAATTATGAAAACTCATTCTAAAAAAGTATATATAATCTTAATTATTCAAGCTATTAAATCAAATAAAAAATTATTAATTTGAAAGATAGCTTAGCTTTATTATATACCTCGAATTATATTGAGTAATAGAATTCAAAGTAAACCTAATATAATTGAAAATTAATTAAAAAGTTATAATTTAATTGAATTAGAAGAAAAGATATTTATTTAATATATTTTTAATATGGATTTAAAAGGTTTTTTATTTAAACTCAAGAATATAAAAGATATAGTAAATTATATTTTTAAATCGAAAAATACGAAATATATCGAAAAGCTTTAGGTATATTGATTTATAAAGTGTTGAATTAAATTAAAGATATATTTTAATTATGTTTATAATTTTCAAAAAGCTTTTTATAAGAATCCTAAGTTTATTAAAGAGTGATTTTAATTAATTATAAATATGTAAATGAAATAGGGTATTTTGAATGGAGATTTCTATAATTTCAATAAAATAGACTTTATAATAAGAATTATATATATAATAATGATTATTATTAATATTAAAAGATATAATAAAAGTAAATCTATATAACTAGACAATTAAGAATGAGCTATAGTAATAATATATGGAAATGAAAAAAGCGAAACTATTCCCTTATTTCTAATGGTTTAGAAACAAGTCTATTTCTTTAATTAATATATCGAAATCAATCTTTTTATAAAATGAGCTATTAAATCTAACATGATTTAACACTGAGTACATTATATCACTGAATATATTACTTTTACCTTAATTTATACTTTCAATTTTATATTATTCAATAACAATTAAATCAATTAATGAAAACTATTAAGAATCTAACAATTTAGAATCTATTATATTATTTTAATAAGTTTTTATATTATAATCTATTTTTTTATATTTATTATAATATCAATTAGAAGATACTTTTTTATTAGAATTCCCCTCTTTTTGATATTTATCACATTGAATCTGAATATTAATTTTTTATTAAAATAATATATTAAAAACCTCTTATTTAGTAAACATTTCTCCTTAATATAATTGAGTTTTTTTATATGTCGATATTTACTTAATACTTTATTTACTATTCGAAGTATATAAATCTCTATATTTAAAAGTATGTTTTTATAAACTAATTTCTTTATATCTTTAGCTAAAACTAATACAATCTTGAATATAGGTGTAGAGGAGCTTGCTTGATAACGAGTTATTCGAGATTTAATTAATATTGATTGAGAAAGAGCTTTAATTAGATTATAAGAGGTTTAAGAGATTTATTAATCTAGATTGAAAGAAGGGGGGGTAGATATATGAATTCGAATATCTAATTTCGAAAATATAATTTTAGAATTAAATAGAATTAAACCTATTCTTTAAAATCCTGATTTTATATTTTAAAAGATAATTGATTCCTTATATATAGCTTTAAAAGCTATAAAGAATTCAATCTTCAAAATATAATTAATATATACTTTAATAAATTTATCAATTTGATTATTATATAAATGTTTTAAATTATTAAAACAGCTAATATTAAGTAATTAAGTTAAATAATTTGAATATAATAATAAATATAAATATATAATATTATTCTCTTTATAGTATACTTGAAAAGCTATTAATTTATAGTTTTTATACCTATTTAATATTAATATTCAATATTTACTTTTTTTTTAATTTTTAGTATACTTATTAAAGTATTTTAATTATTTTAAATCTATTTTATTATTCATTCATTTATTAAATGTAGGTTTAATAGCTCATTTTACAAAAAGATTTATTTCAGTATATTAATTAAAGAGATAAACTTGTTCTTAAACTATTAGAAATAGGGGAATAATTCTACTCTTTTTATTTCCGTATATTATTATTATAGCCTATTCTTAATTGTCTAGTTGTACTACCTTACTTCTGCTATTTTGTTTAGTATTAGTTATTATTATTATTATACATATAATTCTTATTATAAAGTCTATTTTATCGAAATTATAGAAATCTTTATTCAAAATACTATATTTCACTTATATATTCATAATTAATCGAAACCATTCTTTAAAAAACTTAAAATTTTCACAAAAAGCTCTTTGAAAATCATAAACACAACTAAAATATATTTTTAATTCAATTCGATATTTTACAAATCAATATATTTAAAGCCTTTTAATACATTTCGTACTCCTCAATTCAAGAATATCATTTATTATATTTTCTATATTCTTTAATTTAAATAGAAATCCTCTTAAATCTATATCAAATATATATTAAACAATCATCTTTTTTTCTAATTTTATAATCTTATAACTATTCGTTCGAATTTCTATACAAAAAAAATAAACTTTTTATTCTATAAAGAAGTATTATATATGTTATATTATATAGCTTAACAACTTTACAAATACTAAGCTTTTTATCTTTTTGAATAATTTCAATAGTTAAGAGTATTTAAGCTTCTTTTCTCATTGATTACATAATAAATAATTAATAAATCGCATATTGAAGTTGAAGAGTATAAATTGAGGTAAAAGTAATACATTTGGTAATATAATACACTTAGTGTTAAACCACGTTATATTTAATAAGTAAACAAATAATAAGATAGGTTTAGAATAATTAAAACACTTCAATAAGTATATTAAGAATTGAAGAAAGAGCAAATATCGAATATTAATACTAAATAGATATGAAAATTATAAATCAATAGTTTTTCAAGTATATTATAAAGAGAATAATATTATATATTTATATTTATTATTATATTCAAGTTATTTAATTCAATTATTTGATATTAACTATTTTAATAATCTAAAATGTTTATATGATGATTAAATTGATAAATTTATTAAAGTATATATTAATTATATTTTGAAGATTGAATTCTTTATAGCTTTTAAAGCTATATATAAGGAATCAATCACTTTTCAGAATATGAAATTAGAATTCTAAAGAATAGATTTAATTCTATTCAATTTTAAAGCTATATTCTCAAAATTAGATATTCGAATTTATATATCTACTTTTCCCTCTTTTAATCTAAATCAATAAATCTTTCAAACCTTTTATAACTCAATGGAAACTCTTTTTTAATCAATATTAATTAAATCTCGAATAACTTATTATTAAGTAAGCTTTTTTATATTTATATTTGAAATTATATTAATTCTAATTAAGAATATAAAAAGATTAGCTTATAAAAAGATACTTTTAAATATAGAGAATTATATACTCCGAATAATAAATAAAATATTAAGTAAATATTAATATATATAAAAAACTTAATTATATTAAGGAGGAGTGCTTATTAAATAAAAGATTCTTAATATATTATTTCAATAAGAAGTTAATATTCAGATTTAATATAATAAATATTAAAAAGAAGGAAATTCTAATAGAGAAGTATTTTCTAATTAATATTATAATAAATATAAAAAGATAGGTTATAATATAAGAATCTATTAAAATAATATAATAAATCCTAGATTATTGTTACGGAGGTACCCGCACCGCAACATGGATTATGAGATAAACCTAAGGCCTTGGTGTTGGGACCTACGAAACAGCACTGTAGGGACAGTTGAATTAAAGGGTAACTAAAGATAGCGGTAACCGAATAAATAAGCAGTGATTAAAAGATAGGTACCTATCTTTTATTGGCACCTACCCCACAGTAGGCACAGGTTGCACAACGGTTACAGATTAGCTAGTAAGCACAGGTTAAATAAGCGGTAGCCTTACCAGGTCACGAGGACAAGTGTCACGTGAAGGAAAGTCGATTCGACTTGTCGACTCGAGTAGTCGAGTAGACTTGACGATTCGATCAAAGTACGAAGGTCTATATAAGGGAATGGGTTTCATTACAATGTAGAGCTTCGTGCTCAAGAACAATCATTAGTTTCATTACTATAGTTACGAGAATTGCAACCAGTTACAACCTTATTGAATTCCTACTTGAAGTTTAGTTTAAACCATCTCGAGAGATCTCTAGACACTTCCACGTGACCCTAGAGGCAGCTCCCGTAACAATTATTAAATTCTTAATAATTTTAATTAATTGATTTAATTGTTGTTAAATAATATAGTTTTGAAATAACAATTTGAGATAAAAATGATCGATCTATTGATATAACCGACCCACTGATAAACTATGTTATATATTCTAAGATATTCATTTACCTACCTATCTATCTATCTACCTATCTACTTATCTAGCCTAGGTACATACATCCTCTTCCCATCCCTCAGCTATAAGCTGACCTCCCCAAGACTCAATATTCCGATACCCGGGAAATGTATTTGTCACATCCAAGTAATAAGTGAACACAGGATTCGAACACAGAACAGAGTACAAAAAAGCCATCTCACGAAACACCCATCTCATCTCCCATCTCCCATCCCCAATCCCCAATCCCCAATCCCAAGAACCTTGACTCACAGAACCAAAGCACCACATCAAAACACCAAGAACCATTCATTCTCGAACCATTCATTCTTTCAATTCTAGCACAGACTACCAACTTATTAAGGTTACCGGTACTACTGCAGGAACAAAGCACGAATCAATCCCATCTCATTTCATCTCATTTCATGACATTACACTATTCTCTAGTCTCCTTAGTAAAATAAATAGAATAAACTTTGTAAGGTTACCTGCATTCACGCCATTTTGATAGAAGTGTAAATTCTAAGTTTAGTTTGACTTCTGATTTTGATTCCACCGCTATTGCTATCGCTAATTTTTTCCTCCTCACTATACACACAAACTATATACTCATTATTAAGATTCGAGACTGGACTGGACTGGTAGCCGATGATGATGATGTATGGATAATTATGATAGATTGATAAAGTTACAACTAAGTTAGTATAGAGTTAAATACCCTACCTACCTATATACATAGGAAAAAAAGAGCGAGGAATAGATAGATAGATAGATTATCATTATCATAAAGTTATCTACAAATAGGTACTTACCTGTGATTTTTTGTAAAAAAATGTGATTTAATATAATATGAACACTATGGATTATTATACTGTATGTATACTGTATAAGGTTACTGTGAGTTGCAAAATAAAGATTTGGAATCTAATATATATACATAAAAGTATTATCTACATACGAAAGTACTAATAATTCAAGAAACTCGATAATGTCTGTTTATCTATGTAAGGTTTACGTTCTATATACCTAGTAGATACTGAATAGTCATTTTCTTTCACATTTCACACATCTACTTTCCGGGATTAGAACAAGTCCATCCTAAAATCAACGAATTGGTATTGAAAGAATCAATATCAACATCGACTTGTGACTACTTAACTACGTATACTTACTCCCCTCCATCAATCTCAACACAAAAACTATTCATTCATTCAAGAAACATTTTCATTCCCCAGCAATCTTCCAATCTCCTCCGCAATCTCCATGATTCTCTCCTCAGTCAATTTCCTCCCAATAATCTGCACTGCAACTGGTGCTCCGTGATATGCTTCCGGATCATCTATTCACACATTAGTTAATTACTTCTGTAACCACCCCAATGAAAGAAAAGATAAAACTTACACTCCCTCTGCACTACCCCATCCACCTCACTCACCCCCTCATATCCCTCCTTCCTCCCATCCACCCCCTTATCCGCAAACAAAACCGGCACCACCACACTCGTAAAATCCAACAAATTAGTCACGTTCGTATACCCATAATACACAAACCGATCATGACGAATTGCCGCTGTAGCCGCCACAGGCGCAACAATGGCATCGATTTCTCTACCAAGTTTTTCTTCTATGGCTTGGAATTGCTCGAGGTATTCGCATTGGTATGCCCATCTTTGTATATTGATATCCCAGAGTTCGTTGAGGGAGAGAGGGGCTTCGGTTGTGTTTACAAGGTCGGCTATGTTGGGGATGGGAGGCTCGCCGGATGCGGAAAGATCGGTGCGGATATCCTTGGGGTTGTTTAGTGGGGATTTTGATGGGGAGCTGTAGGTTATTGACTTACCTTTCCGGCATCTGAACTATATATTTTATCGAGGAGGTTTTGAGCATGATCATGCTTGTAGGGCTTCCATTCGAAGACTTGATGACCATTTTGTTTCAGAGTATCGACTACTTTTTTGATACCACGGAGAATCGGGGGATGAGGTAGGACCTAAGCACTTAGTTAGCATGTCACCGATCGTAACTATTCTAACCTTTCAAGGAGGGCGATTAAACACTTCTATCAATCTGTGTTTACTCGAGGTCCCGTCATTACCCCTGCCACAGTCGGACATCAAGCTTATCCTTGATCCATGTAGCAATTGGACTTCGACAAAAGCGTGGAGGACTTCAAAATAGATTTAAAACATACTTTACCATCGAAATCATAGTATCCGATTGTCAAGCCGCCATTGGAAATTCTAGACTTTATAACGTCGGCTTCCGATTGCCTCCATGGCATAGGGATAACTTTAGCATCAAATTTCCAAGGTTCTTCTGCAAGAACGGATTCCACAAATAATCGCATATCTACAAACGTCATTAATCCGAAGACAAAGAGTATCAAAAAAGTCTGAGGAAGTTCAACATACCTGCAACTGAATGTGTAATGGGACCACAAACACTATGCAAAGTTTCCTGACCCTCCATACTATTTGCCATCTTACCATAAGGAAGGCGACCATGACTTGGTCGCAGACCATACAAGAAATTGAACGCCGCTGGTACACGAATAGAACCACCGATGTCAGTACCAACACCAATGATTCCACCTCGGAATGCAATATTTGCACCTTCACCCCCTGATGAACCACCGCACGACCAATTCTTATTATAAGGATTCACCGTTCTCCCGATAATATTATTGATCGTTTCACAGCACATCAAACTTTGTGGCACACTGGTTTTCATATAAAAGACGGCCCCGGCTTTAAGTAAAAGCTTGATGAGGATAGAATCGTCATCTTCATATTTACCAAGCCATGAAACATATCCCATAGATGTCTCAAGACCCTGAAGAACACAGAGTAAGCATGGAACCTCTAATACAATCACGTCCCACTCACCTTGATTCTGAATTGATCCTTCAAAGAGATAGGTAGACCATGAAGCGGACCAACTGTTTTCCCCGTTTTCTTATAAAGCTCATCCAATTCCTTAGCACGTGCAAGAGCCATCTCAGGAAAGAATTCGAGAGCACAATTTAGCTTGGAATTATTAACATGGCTCATATTACATCCGTGAACTACTCACAAGTTGATGGGCTAGAGCAGCTCTTTTACAAAATGCCGTTGTTACTTCAACGGAAGTCAATTCACCCTTTGCCATCTTGGCTACGAGATCAGTAGCTGATGAATTCGTGATGGAAATCTCGTCAGTAGACATCACATCACCAAAACCAGTACCTCCCATCACAGAATCCTCAGAAGGCTGGGATTTCAAACGCCATTCCGATGGAATACTGGCATTGATTCGATCTTTCTTATCCTTTGCAGTCTCTTGCCAAGACATGTTGCTTCGAGTGAGAGAACTGAATGGCGCTAGATACTTCAAGTGGTCCAAATATTTAAAGGTTCTGGAGCAGAGGGGATCTGATAAGATGGTAGAGGAAACCAAGAATATATCACGGCAACATGCAATAGTGGGGTTACTGTACCTAGTATGTCATAGCCTCGTAGGGCTTGAAATAGTTCCGTGTGGGGAAGCTGCGATACTGGTGTCTACAGACCTGGTTCAGGTAGCGACTAACGATGCGTAGCAAGTTTTGATATAAAGAAATGCATGACACTCAGGGACATCGAAAGCAATATTCCACACAAACGATGATACATACAAAGTCTCATAAGCTCGATACGGATTTTCGAAGACGTAGGACACATAATATAAGAAGACGTCATCGAGAACCATAACCTATTAAAACGAGACTAGGTTTAAAAGTCTAAAAGAGAACGCAGAATAGAATACAGAGGGAGAACCGGGATGCCAAAGATCTCAAGCAAATTATTTATGGATAACACCAGTGCCAAGAACTCTCAGAATGGAAAGAATCTAGGGTATGGAGCATCTTATTACCAACTACAATGTACCTGAGCCCTTATCTAATTAGATGTAGAAGTTCGAGCTGAAGGTCGAGGTGTTTTTCTTGACGACCCCGACTCGGACAACAACGGTGTACTCTCAACAGTAGTTCCACCTTCGTCATCCGTGTCATGTTCTCGCGAGCCTGCAATATACCCAACGATACATCTTCCATTGGACTGCTTAACGTTAGTGAGTGTTTTTGTACCAACAGATGAATGATTTCACTTACAGCTCCACCCTCATTATTCTGCCTCTCCCTTCTAGCTTTTAATTCGAAAGATATTCCCATGACTAACAAGCATCCTTGTAAACAACCTGTGATCAAGAACACACCCCATGTACTCCAACCACCAGCTCCTAATCTAGCGAAAAGACTCATGGACCAAACAAAGCTGCCAGGAGTTTGAATGCACATCATTGGTATACTCAGACTTCCGATATGACCAAGATTGTATGTCAACCAGATTTGAGGTATATATTGGATACCCGCAAGAATTGTAGCTATAATGCCTAACGTGTTGGCCCATACTCCAAGGACATTAGGATGAGCGAGTGCCAATGATGCACTGACAACGATAGTGACGAATCCATGGAAAAGACAAATCAAAGCTACCGTGACAGCTGTGCGCCATGTATGTTGTTGTTTATTATCATCCAGTGTAGGAAGGGTCGGAGTTCGCGGAAAGAATACCATGAAAAGGAGTAATCTACATGAAATTTTTGTCAGCATCTTATATCTTCATGGGAGATGATCGCGTTGCGTACATTACACTGAAGCAAAACCATTGAACCCCAACTTGGGCAATACCAAGTAATCCTGCAGCACATTCGAATGTGCTAACAGTTTTGCAACAGGCTACATCCGCGCGAGATGCTGGCAGAACTATTATGTTTGCAAAAGCGCATGTTCCTGATGTTGTACCGAGAAGAATGAAGAAGGGGGATATTCCCTCTGAGGTTTTGCGACTGATAATTCGATAATGTTGAGGTAAGTAAGAAACAAGAATTCCAATAAGAATAAAGCTGGATAGGGTGTATGAGTTAGCAAAGAACTATGATATGAACTGAGAAGTCTGGAGAAGCTCCTTACATAGATACTGCGAGGTTGATGTAGCTCACATCTTGAAGCTTTTGGCAGCGGTCTGATAAGTTATCTGTGATAGACAACATGATGGTGAATTTTAAATTGTGAATGAGAAGAATATGTCTGCTAATGGGTGGACGATTTGAACATTCAAACCTTGGGAGCTTTCTGTTGTTATGGTGGTAACTTCAAACCATTGGTAAGTAAGTAGTCGTGGATGTTGATGTTAATGTCAAGTGAAGCTTTCAAAGAAATGCCATAGCTACCGGTATCTAGGTACAATAAGGTACCAGCCAAACATGGATCATCATCACGCTCAGACACGGTTCTCCCATGCTATCAGCTGATAGGAAGGCGTGAAACACAGGGGTAGCTGTTTTATGCGGCCGCATTATTCCGTGATTACTAAACAGATTTGAGAGGTGAGCCACCGGTGAGCCACCACCACCACCACCACCACCAACTTCCAATTCACACCTGGGCACGTCCAAGCTGGGCTACCAACGGACGGTGAACCCTTAGTACAACGGTGGATACTTATTACTTGATAGATCACCAGATGTTCAAGTGACCATTCCCATTGTGGTATATGTTCATCCTTTCTGTACTTTCTTTCCTTGTTGTCTAGTATTAAACACCACGGGTTCTGTTTCTATCGATCTCCCAGCATAGCATGATGCACTTTTCTCATTTCATATGATCTCCAAAATGCAAGAATTTAATGGCTGGTGACAGATTAGACATCCATAAGTATATGGAAGTTCGATCTCTATGGCAGCTGAATATCAACTTGCGAATTGCGAATTGATTGTCAACATCAAAACCATCAGCCTATTCTAAGATTACATGGATCTACCATTCAAATCTACTTCGAGCCTGCATAAACACCGATTTTAGTGTCGTTGACTACAGTGACCATGCACCCCCACTGTAACCCCAGCTCCGAGAATGAAACGGCTTCGAATATAACTCGTCTTTGTCATCACTTTGGGTGATTCAACGAGTCTCTCTTCGTATCCATTGGTTTTCCTCTACATCTGGAATTCTTCATAAGCAGAAGTTTCTCGATACTTCACTCATAGAATTTGAAGTTAATAAGCAATCCATATAAATCCTTCCTTCTAGCTTCAATAATATATCCACAGTAAAGGCGGAACTCGTTCAAGTCCTTTCAATCATTTTCGGCCTCTTTCATGGCTACGAACATCATGGCATCTAACACGACTAAAGTCCCACAAATGCAAAGTAGATCTTCCAAACAAAGTCGCAATCGCACACTACTCTCGTGTACGGAATGCCATAGGAGGAAACAAAAATGCAATCGAAATCATCCCTGTAATGATTGCCTGGAGCGACGTGTTCCACATAAATGTCATTTTGTGATATCTTTGTAAGTGTCCATTGACATAATACCCAGAATTTTTATTGATTTGGAGAGGTTGAAGAAGACAGAGAGATTCAAAACTTGATTATCAAACCACAAAAGCTGCTCGTGATCGACGAATACTTGCTGGGGAGGAAGTTCTACTAAGCCTTGAATCGGTCGACGATCTCAGAGCCGTTGGATCATCTTACGCATCCACTCGTGCCCCTACAGATTTGACACAGATCTTGTTCTCTAATCATACTCCTACTAAAGATATAAAACCACGGGCTTCCTTTTGGCCCAATCTAACGAGTGGGATTCTGGATGCGTTCGATCCATTCTCAATATTGCCAGATGCAGGTGGAGATCCACTTTCCAAATCAATTCTCATAGAATACTGTAAGCAATTTGTTGCATATGTCAGGAGAGGTTTTACTGATAATAGAAAGTTGTGAAGCAATTAGGTCCATGGCTTGGTTCATACGATGATGCTAATGTTGTGGGTCGCCCCGCATTCTCCTGGCTACCATTTGCTATCCAACATCCCCCATTATTTTATGCTACATTACTAGGCGCAGCCGTTCACCTAGACCGCAAAAGACCTATAGACAAACGCAGTTCGGTTTGGTACAAGATTGAGACAATGCGTTTGGCAAATGAAACAATGAATGTACCTCACGAAGCTGCTACGGATCAAATGCTTATAGTGGTTTTAATCTTGCTATATTTCAACGCAAGTCTTCACCTTGATGTTCAAGTGCCGAGCTGACAATGAATTTTAGGTTGGTGGTGGAGATGGAGAAGAATACGAAATGCATCTCTTAGGTATCAACCAAATGCTAACTATGAGAGGAGGTATGGGCAATCTAGGAATGAGAGGTATGATTAAGAACTGGCTGGGAGTTTGTTATGGTCCTTGGCATCATGATTGGCACTATGGACTGTTTGTGGACTTCTATGGCATCAAAAGACAATCGTACATGTGATGAAATAATCAAATTCCAAATTTCGTTTTGCAAAACTATCACAAAGTTGAAATTGCAAAACTACTCCTCCTCGAATCACACATCACCAACTAAGCCAATAATAACTGTCTGCAACTACTTTACTTTACAAACTCTTCTTCCACTCTTCCACAGTCAATACCTCGTTTGCAAACAATGGCCAAATAAGATCGGTCGCAGCATCCTTTGCCACGGTAGTAAAGCCTGCCGTTGCATCCTTAAGCATGGTTACATGATATCCCCTAGTGCCGCCATCAGTTACTGTCCAGGAAACGGAAATCCAAAGTAAACTTACAATTCATAAGCATATCTTGCCGTGGATTCCAAACAGGTATTAGCCGTCAATCCAGCAAAGATGAGATGCGTGATCTCTCTTTGCTTCAACTGATAATCCAAATCGGTGTTTGAGAACGAACTAATTCTCTCAGATTAGTTACCTTCGCTGTCTCAACCACATCTTCAAAATAAACGACATATTACATACCTACTACACCAATGTTTACTCACAACCACATCTCCATTTCCCTCCACATCCGGCTCCAATCCCTCATAAATCTCAACTCCCCACGATCCCTCCTCAAAAGTCTTGTGATCTCTTTGACCCTGCTGCATCACAGTTGCATGTTCCCACCCCGCTAGAAATCCAGCTTTTACCTGTTGATGCAAACCATAGTAGATGGGAATTTTCTGAGCACGAGCAGTAGTCACGAGATTCTGAAGATGGGAAATGGTGTTTGTAGCGGCGAGAGATTCTGCGAGAAGTTGATTGACTTTGCCTTTGGGATGGAGGAAGTCGTTGTAGGGATCGATGAGAACGATTGCGGTTTTATTGACGGATGTCATTTTGTGGAGTATTGGATGAGTGAATAAAGGAAGTAGATGGATGTTATGATCGGGAAATGATGAGCTGAGGAAATAGTTTGAGTTGAATTGATTGACTTGAGATAGAATGGAATGATCTCGTGTCTTTATACATTCCTGCATGAGCTGCTTATAGGTACACAGCAGTGCCCACCTCATCGATGCACTAATATCGGCTTTTGTGCATGTACTTTGAGAATGTTACAAAGCATCATGCTCTTCTTGTTTTATCTACCTACTGATTATAAACTCGGTATAAATCCTCTCCTCTCTGTCTATAGACAAATTTCAATATTAGTCTCGGACAATACTCTAGGTCCTTATTTTTAGATTGTTAGCTTATTGTATGTCGGAAATGTGGACAAGGCTGAAATCGGCTTTAAGGCATGAATAGATAGATGATGGGATGATGGGTGTATAACCTTTCAAGGCTGAAAACAGCCAATGGAATGGAATATTTTCTATTTGAGGTGACGACTGTGTATTGTGTGTTTTTTGGTTTATGTTTTAGTTTATGTTTTAGTTTTGTGAGGTTTAATTAGCTTAGTTATTATTTATACAAACTTCGTATATTTTTAATAAAGTTCTGTATGAAGCAGAAGCTCTTCTTATTTTTTATTTCTGTATCTACTAGATATAATGGCATTATATGTCATAACTTTCAGCATGAGGGCTCAAAGGTTCAAATGTGTTCCTATCATCTGAGGTACCTAAGTAGGTAGGCGAAGAATAATCGTCTTCCTTGTTTCATTCATGCCTAGATTTCCTATCTCTCCAGAATGATTTATAATTGGTAGTTGTTCGTGTCCTTCATCCGTACTTATCTTTCAGGCAGTCCACTTGATGACTGGCTGAAATCCCAAGTAACTTTATTCAAGACAATTGTTATCATATCAGTCCTTTGCTTCAATTCAATATCATTGAGGATTTTCGTCAAATAGCAGTGCACAATGTGAACAATTCATGAATCTCGATGCAGTCCAATTCAAAGACTTCAAGCGAATAAAAGTACTTAAATTAGGTAGCGAACATGAAGTCATGTCCAAGGTTGCACCACTCAGAACATGATATTGGAAGCTTATTAGAGAGGGGTAAGATTCATATTGATATTGATAGAAGCACTACCTTTTTACAGACTTTTTCTCTGCTCATATATATATGAATGATTCACTACAAGAGATTAGCTACGACACCTACAAGCTTGTATAGTTTACATCTTAAAAATCGGTACAGCAGCCGAATATGCATAAACCATTTCATTTCTCATAATCTTTCTCATCCTTTATTCCACATTGTTTTTGATGTATAGTAGACCTTGTTTTTCATAACAAAGTCCACTTAAGTCCAATTGTGTCTAGTTTGTTACCACACTACTCAGCTCAACAACTACCAGAGAAACTTTGCAAAATGTCGCCCGACGACTCAGCCAATTCTTACTCAAGCTACAAGGCAGATACATCTATATTTACCAACTATAGGTGTTATGACTCCAGAGTGGGAAGTTTGAGCTAATTTTCACACAGGGCTTTTCAAATCCGCCACAGCCTGTGGGTATAAGATGTCAAAGATAGCCGCACCTCCAATTGGGAATGCCTCTACACCGGTTCCAGTCTTGAAAACACAACCCCGACTCAAAGGTAAGGCTAGGAAGCTTGCGAAAGAATGCAAAGAAAGACAGCAAGTTCAAGAAAGTGTACCTGTGTTGAAAACGCCCTCAAAGAAGTACACTATCACGACAATAGAAATCTTGAAACAAGCGAAGTTTGTCACTGAAAAAATTGAACTACCACAAACGGTTCGAAAGGTTCTACAAAGAGCGATTCATGCTCGAAAACGCTGTGCAGATTGGTTCGAGTCATCCAAGTTTGGGAACCAGTCTTCGAACAATGGTCATCAACATTTCATCGAACTTCTACAGGATATTCTTAGTGCTCTAGACCAGGGTGAAAATGACAGGAGTCATTCGAATAGTATGAATGTTTCATGCAAGACCTCAAGGAACTCCCAAGACACAGAATCCTCTTGGACCGAAAATTTCAATAGATTTCAAAACCTGGAGATTGAGGACTGTTTTGAAGAAGACAGTGAGGTCGAAAATGATCAAGAGAGTTCCGAGCCCAATGTCGATACCCCAGATACTTCAGACACTTGTAAACTAGAAGAAGAATCTCTCGAGATCAAAATGAGCATGATGATCTACTATTTCTTTGAGGACCTTCATCGAATTCAAAATTTCCTACATGAAATATTGAAGAGATACAAGGAAAAATCGCTAGATCTCCTCACTGCCACATTGACAACAAACACCGCGCTTTAGTTAGTTCATCGTAGTGAACAGGAGATCTTGCGCAACGCACCAAAGTTGTTCTCGAAGGCACGATCCTATGACACCATTGCAGCTGTCATATTCTACGCAAACGGATCCAACACTGAGAAAGACCCAACACAGAAAATGGAGCCGAAGGAATTGTTGCGGCCTACGCCCTTCGATGACTTCATATATCTATCCACTGCTCGTATTTTGATGAAACACGACAATATTTGTAAGATGGGCGCGGGTTATCCTATTCTTTTACTTCCGCTACGGGCAGCCTACATTTCATGCCCGGAACTCCTGAGAACTCCCTACATGGATAAGAAAGAAAAAGAGGATGCTTTACTTTCACAACTCATCATTGATCTCGACCTGTTCGACATATATAACAGATTGACGAAAGAAGATGTAGTTCGAGGTCCGGCACTATATGCACCTCCAGCCGCAGATGCTTTGACCGCCGGCTTATCGAAATTAAAAGTTGAAGGACACATTAGTGTCACTGTCGTATTTGCTTCCCAAATATTCCTCGATTTGAACGAAATACTTGGTGATGACATCACAGAAGGACGCAAAGATTGGGAGAGGCTAGCTTCTAAAAGCCAAAGTAGCCTAGATTCCTGTCTCTATCTTCCAAAGGATACCGCTAGTGGTTACTGTTGGAATCCTAACGACTTACATACGCTTAAGAAGATACTCGAGATCAATTCCAGGTATACCGACTCCACAATGTTCAAAAAACTCAAAGACTGCTTCGTAGATGAAAACTGCCCAGGGCCGGACTGGGGAAAGGTGATCTATAACGAGTCTACTTCTACAACAAGCTTGGTCAATCGCTTGGATCAATATTCAAGTAGCACTTCTGTCCTCCAACCAATGGCGAGCAAGAAAACACACTGCACGGAGAAAGGAAACCTACCAGGAGTACAGTTCTCCAAAGATCCAGTACTAACCAACACCTACACTCGGTTTCCAGTGCGTGCTATTCTTTCGGATGGCCGTTTAGCCCGTGACTGGAGCAAAAAACGGTTGATAAGAATTGGCGCAGTTACGAAAGTTGGCAATACCGAGACTCACAACCAGCAACTTATCAAACGTTTCAGGCAGCTCGATATTCGATTAATAAGACCGCACAGTGATTCATTGTTTTTCTACACACACAATCCCGTGTACTGTGGGATGATTGCTCTCAGATTAACGACGAGCTACGACGATGCCGGTCTTTGCCCATGCTGATTATCACCTCGTCATGAGCTTCACTGCACATCTGTACGAGGAATGTATAAGAACCAACTTGATCCAAAAACGATGGCCAGCAATGAAAACAATGATAAAGCTGCACAGGAAAGACGTTTTTGATGGCAAAGTACCCAAGTCCGCAGATGAGGCGTACAATATATTCTCTAACAACTTTTACATTTCTAAAGTTTCAGATCGAGCATATACCAGGGCAAGACCTTCATCAAATTTGACAATGCCGAAACTTTCAAGAAATCCTCTGAGTCAAGCTATTCGTCCATTTCTGGAACACCAAGCATCTTTCAACGAATCAACAAATAATCTCCAGAACCTAGTCCAAAGCCTCCCATCGGCAGTAATGACGAACGGCACACATCGACGTGCAAAGCGACAACTTACTTCAATACAATTACTTCGAGTTTTAGAGAAGTTTCTTCCCGATGAGATGCCGAAAATCCAATTCGATTACATTTCTTTGACAATCGCTTGTTATCGTCTGTTGGAGAAAATTCGGTTAGCGATCGATCCCACTGGAACACAAAATCCAAAGCGTGCGAAGCCTGGTGGAATAGAACCGGCGTATTTGTTTATGACTTTGGATATACTATCTAAAGGGAGGACCGGTGGCGAAAATCCATTGTTGAAGATTGTAGCGGGGGTGCTAGAGAAGTTTGTGGGGGAGGAAATTTTGAAAAAGTAAGGATTTAAAGGGTGCGATGATCTTACTCAACGGGTTTGGCATCTAGTAGAGCATCATGATATTGGCTAGTCACGATTTTAAAGAGGAGGGCAAGATTGATTTTGGTTAGGGTACGATTGTGATAGGAAATTTGCATTGTAGAGATATCGATTAGCTAGAACTATGAGAGTATAGCACGCACTTTTTCAAAGTATTAAATTGTATTCGTTACCAAAAAGAAACACTGTTTTGACTCTCAATTCTAAAAATGGCGTACCCACTGATTCTTATCTTGAACGTCTGGGTTGAACTAAGTGTCATAGGAGATAGATGATAAATGTCAAAAGTGAGTCTCTGGCCTACACAGAATTTTATCTAGACTTCCTTTGATGGTCCTCTGTTGCGCATGTACAATGCTAACCCTCAATCTAAGGAACTACATACAAATATGTCCTTTACACGAAACCTGAAAGGCTTCTAACAAAATTTCCCTACTTTTGATTGTTGCATATCTTCGCAGGGATATTTATAGATCAATACTTTAGTATGCTAGCAGTTCAAAATTAGCTCCATTGTACAGTCTTTACTTAGTTTCGATAATTCCAAAGTAAAATTATAGTCAACTGCTAACTCTTCCGGCTCCCAGCCAGAAGAATTCGTTTTCACACTTCTCCCAGTCATACCCACTATTTCCTCTTGATACCCGCCATCCAAATTCTAATACATATCTATATCTATACTGAATACCCGAATAAAATAAAATCCAGCGATGACAACAAGCCAATATCTTTCATAAAAACCATAGCGAAAACTTTCCAGAAAAGGTGTCATTTTTTCGAAATCACATTCAAAGTAGCTCGCTTTATACTTCGCCAAAACTCGGCTACAAGTTTCAAAGATACAACAAAGACTTTCATATCAGAATTTTCACTATCAGACATTCTCATCTCCTCCTACATATAGAATAACCATAATGGGCTAAATCCTATGCACAATAAAGTTTTGTTGCATATCTGCATATCGGCTCTCTCGGAAATGGGCATAGAGAGAGCCGGAACACGCTTTGCGTGAGAGCCGAAATACCACAGGCACAAGTTAGTCATGATAGGCTAGATTCGATAGGATAAACGTTTTGTTGCATATCTGTATCTCGGCTCTCTCGAGATGTGGCTCTCTCAAAATACGGCTCTTTAGGAAATACGACTAGGCTAGTAACAGGAACTAGTCGGCGGCTTGAAGAGCCGACTAACAAGACTTTCCGATCAGAATATTCACTATCAGACACATTTTTATCTCATCCTTTATATAGAATCACCGTGATCGGCTAAATCATATGAAAAAAAAAGGTTTGTTGCATATCTGCATTCGGCTCTCTCTAAATTGCGGCTCTCTCAAACTGCGGCTCTCCCAAAGACGCGGGTAGAGAGAGCCGAAATACCACCCGTATATACCAATTGTGATAGGCGAGATCCCGTGAAAAAAGTTTTGTTGCATATCTGTATTCGGCTCTCCCAAAAAAACCGGCTCTCTTTAAATTGCGGCTCTCTCAAAATGCGGCTAGTATAGGAACTAGTCGGCCGTTTGAGGAGCCGACTACTATATCAATAGTATTCCGACATAATATATCCACTGAATGTCACTCCTTCACTGCCATACCTGCAGGTGGTGACCGTGAACACCCATGAACACGTATCTCTCGCAATCATTCGGCCAACGACTAACAGACCCGGACTTTTCAGATATGCAACAAAACCTCGCAAGTTGGAATATTCACCATTAGAGACTCTCATCTCATGTATAAAAAAGCTATGATAGTCTAAGAATACAACCGAAAAGTTTTGTTGCACGTCTGGTTTCAACGACAAAGGTGAAAACCACTACTAGGTAGGTATTACTATTAGAACTCTAGCAAGAGACCTTGTTTGGCGGCCATAGTCTACTTACTAACTCCCGAGGTAAGTTCTACTATTTGCCATGTCTTGGTATTCTTACACCTATCCTGTGAGGATCATAATGATATTACTTGCTTGCTTTACCAATCTTGGTAACCATTCTTTCTATCCCACTAAGCCTCGCCCATCCATCCACACCCAAATCTAATTCCAAAATCAACCAACCATAAAAGTGAAATACATCCAAGATATGCAACAAAATCCTCCAGCCCTCCACATTCACTCCAAACAGCCCCCGCACAGATTCCAACTCCCATCTCCACCCATCTCCATCAACCCTCATTTCAATCTCAGAATTGTATTCCAACATCATCCACCAATAGAAACCTTGAATTGAGTTTTCAGATATGCAACAAAACTCCTCGTTGACGGCAAGAGAGGTGTATTCACTTGCCGACTCTCCAGCATCGATGCTGCCTGTGTGATTTTTATTCACTTCATGAGGCCCCAAGTAGGTTCGTACGCTACATCATCTTGCTTTTGCGTGGTGGTATGTGTGTAAATGATACGACCTTTTAAAAGCCTTCAGACGCTCCCCTCCTAGGATTTTCATTTGGATGCCACATCGGGATAAGATATCCAACAAGCAGACGGGGGATAAGCAGAGTTATAGATTATTGTCCAAGTCGGATATGAGATATACATAAGCAAGTGGTCACAAACCCCGTCAACCACAGTAGCAATATGTAATTCTCCACCATGGATATTGCAAAAGCACTGCATCTCTACACAACTCACAAGAAAGTGTTCGTTTATAAACAGAGATACACACTATCAAGACAACAAGTTCATTGAGAACCATTGACCCAACACTTGAAAGTACAAAATTCCAGTGTTCAAACCAACTAAAGCCTGAAAACTAAGATTAATCCGAGGGAATACCGTGCACTAGCATGGCAAGGGAAGAGCCCGGGTGACTTTGGTAGGATGTCTACTAGAGCCTTAGCCTAAGAATGGATGGTTAACATCCAAGGTTTTATTATGAGACCATGCTACTATAAAGTATAACATTCAATCCAACATGGCGAGGAAGATACAGAAGTTTCGGAGGGGATACCAGCCAGTACTTCCTAATTCTCCAGCTGGTAGGAATCTTTTAATGCCACAGAATCAAGAGCTAAAGGATAATGAAGTGAGTAGACTTGGATTGGTTTGAAAATGACCTTTGATATCTCTTATGTATTAGTGCATAAACTGTATATTGAAATCGACCAGCTCTGTTTAGACTACAAGAGTCAATGCTGCATATCCTCTAATTGCGCCGCCATGTATGTCTGACACGGATGTTCCATCTATATACCATAACGCCTTGCAAATGCATCGTACTAGTTCCATGATTCCATGATAGCTTTTATTTCCATCCATAGTGTGTCTCCAATATGCGCATTCAATGAGTCACACTTTCCCTTATGCCCCTCTCAACCTATACGGACAACCCAATTGCGCACCATGTTTGCAATTCGAATCGATTATTCCAAACGATTCATCAATCCTTTCCTAACTTTCATATTGACAACCCCTCCAACACCAAATGCAGGCACAATTCTACATATTCTCGCCGCAGCACTGACACCCCAATTCTTCTTTATAATACTCCATCTATCCCCCCAAGTAACACCTTGACCTCTATTATATAAATCCAAGCCCAATAAATGCATAGGCGTACTCAAAAGTTGTACGGAAGCTGGGGCCAAAAATTGTGAAATGGTTTGTCCACTGATCGATTTTTGTAGTTCCTCGGACAGGTTCTTATTGATAATTGGACCAAGCATTGGTGGTATATTGAATGAAGCAAAAATCGTAAGACAATCGCGAGCAGTGAAGAGTATATACGAAGGGAATGGTACAGGTCTCGGTGGACCAGAGGGACCAAACATACGGGCGAATGTTTGATCTTTGAAAAGGCACAATCCAATATTTGCAGTCGAACTTGCAACAAATTTGGAGGTTCCAGATGTGACTGTGGATGCGGGTTTATTGTGTATGGTGGATGTAACAGTATCGAGGGCATTTGCTGTTAAATATGTGCCTCCATATAACATACATATCAGGGCGAACGGTTTCGAGAAGATGAGACTATGGGGTCGAAGAATAAAGCTCTTGAGGGATAATCGTAATGATTCTTTGAGGGTTGCTTGACCAGACGCATTTTGCATAATACCTCTGTTATAATATTAGCAATTGGCGCAGAGAGTCACAGAACTGAAACTTACTTATCAATGATGGTGATAATTGGCGCAACCATAGTTGCAGCAGTGGCACCAGACACCAAATCCACACCCAACCTATATGGCAGATTCTTTGTATTCCATTCTCGAGGTTCTGCTATAGGTTCTGCGAGTTCAGGACTTCGAGTCACTGTCTTTGGGTTGTCAATTTTCATTGGGGTTTTTGGTGACTCCATCTTGTGTGAGTCTTCGGATTTCATAAAGAAAATGTCATTAACAATCAATCAACAATCAATATTTCTCTACAGAATGAATGGATGAGAAATGTATCAATTGGATTCGGTATCAAATATAAGAAGCAAACAATTGCTTAGAAGAGACTTGAAGAATGATACTAAGGATTCGAGTAAACCAAAATTGTATCTCCGTAAGGTTACAATAAAGTTTCTCGAGTGGAGGCCGAAGTCGCACTATAAAAAAGCAATTGATAAGTAGAATAAGCTTATCGGAGAAATCCTTCACGATGACAACCCGGAGCTAACCGATTATGTGAAGCATGAATCAATCTCTCGACATCAATGAAGGGGATTCTTTTCGATTTTGTACTTCTGTTCTTTCTACTGATTACAAATGAATTGATTAACACCAATACAATGGAAATATAACCACATATATATTGTCACCTCTGCCTTCAATGTAGTAGCACCAAAGGACAGGTTCTCTAGAGCAAACGATAGCTTCAGATAGTCGTTCCGGGGGAGAGAAGCGGATCCGAAGAGTAGGTAATAACAGGGGCACATTCTACCTCACAATAATTCAACCAATCATGAAAACTAGATTAATACCCCCCATGTTTCTTCGCTTAATGAGAAAGATCGTTGTGACTTTGACATTCAGTTGAGAAGTTGTCTTGTCAGCTCACCACGACAAGAACTACAATCTGGTTGAAGTAGCAATATGAAACCGGGAATACATGATGATTCATTCAAAGAAGAGGAGCGAAGAATGGGTGATTCTTTACTGAGGGATGAAAAGGGTGACACATGTCAACTAGAATCTCAGCATGGTGAAAAGCCACGGATAACACGGTCCGGTCAAGGCTTGCGAAACAAGTGGTTGATTAGGCTGCTACTTGGCCTATTGGTGTTCTGGGCTTATAAGCTCTTACCATATGGTAAAGATATATCTTATGAAGATACTGTACTTAGTGAGGATAGTTGGTCTTGGGAAGCGGTAAGAACTTTGCTTGAGGAGATTAGATGGCACTTACAGAATATCAATACATGAAGCCAAATTCTGAACTAGTTTGGCATCAATGCTTTGATGAGTTTGATTGTGCAAGATTAGAGGTATGACTACTACGCCCGTCGACTTCTCTATTGCATGCTCATTCTATTCTCTAAAACAGGTACCACTAGATTGGCTAGAGCCTACCAATTCATCAAAAGTTATCTTGGCCGTCTTGAGAAAAAATGCAACATCAAAAGTAGACTATAAGGGTCCGCTCTTCGTCAATCCAGGAGGACCTGGTGGGTCCGGTGTAGGCACCGTGAAAGACTTTTGGAAGGCTATTCATATCACTGTTGGAGCTAACCACGTGGGTCTTGTTTCTGGTGACTTGAAGACTACAACTAACGATCAAAATAGGATATCGTTGGATTTGACCCTCGTGGTAGTAAGTCTGTAGCTTCAAATTGACAGTGAGATAGTGTATTGACTTTACGCAAAGTTGGCGCCACCACCCCTTCTGCCTATTGTTGGGATGGACTACGAGAGGAAAGAATCTGGAGTATTCAAAAACTCGGACTTGTCGATTCACACCCGGGAATGATTTATGATCTTTATGCACGTCAAAGTGTCGAGTCTAAAAATTGTGAATCTAATCTTGGTGATCTATCACGATTTCTGGTAACAACTTCTGCAGCGAGAGATATGTTAGAGATACTCAATAAGCTCGGGTATGAAAAGCTGAGATACTGGGGTCTGAGTTATGGTACAGTAATCGGAGATACCTTCGCGCGCAGCCATGTACGCCGATAAAGTTGAGCGTCTTGTAAGTGATGGTTAGTGTTAATTCCCGCTTTAGAGAATGAAGGCTCGCTAAATCCCGTGCAGGAAATGTCAACTACTCAGAATGGTACAATGGAACCAAGATCCATTATATCGAGGATACAGACAAAGTAATGCTAGCTTTCTTTGACTTATGCCATAAGGCTGGTCCCCAAAAAATGTGCACTCTATGCCTTAACACCTATAGCAATCCAAGAACGACTCGAAGGTATCTATACCAAGCTTCGAAAGTACCCATTACAAGTCTTCCCTACCACAAACAACACAATGGAATTACAGTCGTTGGGAATCACCCGACCAGAACTTCTCACCTTCTCACCTTCTCACCTTCTCAGACGTAAAAAATGCAGTAATCTACTCACTCTACCAACCTTTAGCATTATTTCCTCACTTAGCTAGAGCTTTAGCTACGCTATAAACCAATGATGGTATACCTTTCTTGAAATTAGCTATAGCTCAAGGACACATACAACCAAGTTTCACATGTGATTGTGACTCTCCTAACTGTGAAGAAGAATCCGGTTGGCCTTTAAAAGCAATTGGAAACGGCGACGCAGCAACATATGTGAAATGCGGAGAAGGTGACGCCAATGCGGATAAAGATAGTTTGGAAGTTATGATCAAATATGAAGAAGAGTTGCGAGGAAAAAGCCCATTGTCCGCATCGGTTATGTTCAATATTCGTCTATCGTGCGCGGGATGGAAATCAAGAACAAAATGGAATTTCGTTGGCGAGTGTTCCTCCTATTGACTACGTTTCTCCTGATCAGAGATGCTAATAAAACTCATATCAAAGGTCCATTTGAGCAAAACACCAGTCATCCCATCCTCTTTATCGGCAATTCAGCAGACAACATCACACCACTAGGGAGTGCAATCTTCAACTCCAATTTCTTCCCCGGCTCTTCTGTTCTAGTACAGAATTCTTATGGTGTATGGTCCTCTCATGATAATATCTGATGTTCCGCATCTTAGCAAATTATCTAGCATACGTCGGCATCTTGTCCCTCGAAATGTACAGCTAAACATCGACTTGCGTATTTCTAAACTGGTATTCTCCCATCGAATGGTACAGTGTGCGAGCCTGATTTTATACCGTTTGAAATTGAGGTTGAGGGTTTGGATTCGCAAAGTGATGGGGATGAGGATGGGGATGAGGAGTTGGAGTGGGCGTTGAAGGAATTGATGAAGTTGTTGTAGATGGTGGCTACTTTATTAGTGCCTTTCATCTCTGGGCTTTAGACAAAGGAGAAGCAAGACAAGATTTTCGGAAATGAAGAACAATAGGAAAATTAAAGGTTGACTTAGGGGAGAAGATCGATATCGCCGAAATCGTATTTTGAAGAAACATGGAAATACTTCACATAAAGGGGTTTCTCATATCGGTTCCGGAATAGCTGAATCATGCGAATATTCTAAGTTTTTGTGTCGTGGAGAATAGGGAATGGATAATTGACTGATCGATGGTTAGAATCCTCATAGATACCTACAGAGATCTTGATCTTTAACTTTCTACTTTGATTCGAAATGCATACGTTCATTTTGTCAGGAATATACACATATGCATTCGATGAGACAGTATATGGGATCCGTTATCTGACTATACATGGACGCAATGATTTAAAATCACTTCTGATCATATAGCCCTGATATGATATTGAGACTGTCCAGTAGTAGGCTGTTTGACTTCCTACGGAAGGTACCTTGATATTTAAAGCACCAGATCATTTCAACAGAGTAAAGCAAACCTTCACATCTATCATTGATCCATCTATATCATCAGCCTGAAATCTATATCTAATAAAACCAACCATCTAATCCCATCTCAAACCAAGCCCCATATCCCTTAACCCAACCCCAACACTAAACCCCACTACCTTCCCCCCGCCGTCGGAAACGGCAGTTTCCTATGCATCCTCATCGCCACCTCCGCAAAATCCTCTTCATTCTCCTGATTCAAAATCCCCTGCCTCACAAAAAAATCCATCATCACCACCGCACTATTGGTCTTGAAAGTTCCCTTCCCCAATTCCTCCACCACCTTCTCCACCCCCCACAAATAAAACCCCTCCACCTCATCATCTCTCGGCGTCGGGATCGTGGATTCCCCAACCTCCAAATCATACACATATATCATATCCGCCGTTACCAATCCCCTAATCCCTCCCGACCCCTCCCCACTACTTTTCATGTACGTAATCACCCCCGTCGATTTGACATCCGAGCGAATAAGCTCAGCTGATAACGACGCCTCTTCATCAGCTTCGTGGATGATAGTTTCAAAAGGTGATTCATCGGCGCGTACGCCTCCTGCAACGGCGGTGTCGAATTTCCCAGGGTAGGTAAAAAGATGCGCGCTGCGTTTTGCGACCCAGATTTTGAGTTCGCCTTCAGCAGTGCGAGTGTAGATGGTGAGATGCGCACCACGGGATATGATACCGAAGAGAGAAGCGGCGTAGCGTTCGAGATGGACGGGGTGTTTAGCGCCAGGGATGGCGTAGGGTTCGCTGTGTTCGCCGTGGAGAGTGCTGAAGATGTCTTTGTCGATTGCTTCGTTGATTACTTTTGCAAAGGCGTTGTTGCATGTGGTGGAGTAATCGCTTGATGCGATGTCCATGGGATGTAGTTGGACGCTTAGGGGATGACTTTGAGTGATGGTGAAATCGGGGGACCAGGGCATTTGGGAGACGATTTCGGGGAGCATGTAGCCGTGAACCCGGTCATCGTCTGGGAGGTAGAGTTTGTAGAGTTCATCGATGTTTGCATCGTATGGAAAGCTGATGGGGGTGATTAGTATCATAATTTACTAGGAAAAAGTGGTATAACATACTTATCGCAAGCTTTCACAAGATCTAGATAGGACTTTTTTGAATCTGAAGACATGGTGATTGATCATATGATGTGCTTAAACGTGGGATTCAACTAATCCGACAACAGAGTACCGTCAATACTAAGTTTCTAGTTTCAAATCTAAAGAAAAGAGAAAAGATTCCAACATATAAATATAAACCCAACAAACTGATCACGAAACACCGCGTAACGTGATATCTATTGAAGTAATTTCAGTTTACGTCACACATTCTTAGATAATCATCATCAGTACCCATTTGGCCCGTGTGTTCTGTAACCTTATTGTATCAAAATAATAAGCGATAGATACGCTTACCTATTACCCTACCTACTCAACCCCTTGCACACTGAGACCCTCTACCCCGCATTCTATTACCCCAGAATAGATACGAAATACCACCTCCTCCTCACTTCATGCAACCATCAGCTGTTATCTGTCTCAAAGAGAATGTGTGTTATTCTTGTACTCTTGATGTACTACCAAATAACCAGTCAGGGAGAAACGATAGAACCGACGTTTTGAGAGGAATATTCACAAGTTATCGCATGATGAATTGATATATTCCATGAGTTTCTCATCGGGGATTGTGGTGTACATAGGCAAGTTGGTATTAATAAATACCTACTCATCCAATTTCCATCCCGTTCATAAAATATCAATTCAAAATACCACAAGCAAACACCATCCAACATCCACCCCGGGCTCTGAAACCCATCGGGCTTTGAACTGGGATTTCAGTCCAATCACCACTATGCTTCCCATCCTATCCCCTCTCATCTCAAACCACAAATCACAATACCGGGATTTGTATTGCCTCCCTCTCACACCCTCACACGTACCCTCTCACACACATAACCCTCCCACCCTATCCCTCCTATCATTCATTCAGGCTTTACCTCCCCTCCCTACCATATCCATCCATTCATATCCATCCATACCCTACCCACCCCCCAGCATAATCACGAGTTCATACCAAAGACAGGCACCTACATAAACATATTCTTCCCCCCGGAATGTAAATTCTTTTACTACTTCTTCTCTCCTTCCCTTTCGATTATTCATTCAAAGCTTAAGTAACTTATCGGTTTCTCTGATCTTTTTCTGTCTTACATCTATTATCAAGATCATACTCAGAAGGACAATCAAAACGATAATCATCGCAATCGCACTACTCTCGTCATTACTCATTACGATATCTTATCAAGCAAGAAACAATCGACTACTCACCCATCTCAGCTCATCAGCTCATCAGCCCATCTCACCAATTCTATCGATTCTCACTCACAAAACCATCTCTCTCTCTCTCCACCAACCCACCACCCAATTTAACAAACCATCCTTCAATCCCCCTCAAATCCCCAATCCAAATCCAAAATGCCCCGCCCAACCCTCCTAACCTCCACCTCCACCTCCCTCCTCTCCCACCTCACCCGCACAATCCGGCACTCCTCCACCTCTACCAAATCTCTCACCCCCCGCCAACCCATCTACTTCGGTCCCAACGTGTATTGGGGAAAAGCGTGGAAGAATGTGTATGGAACTGGGTTACTGTATGTGTTGTTTTTCCATTTCTCCACCTCCTTTATTAATTTCTTTCTTTCCTTCGCTCTATTTATTTCAAAAAAGGGAGGGAAAAAGAGAAAGGGAAAAAAAGAAAAAAGAAAGGGATCTGTGATATGCTATTTCATATTATGCAACACCGTACCGTGCTGTGCTGTGCTAACACCCCATCTAAATAGATACGTCCCCGTCGTTGCAGCCGTCATGTTTTGGCCCGTTCCAATTGCGCCAATGATGAATTTCTCAAAAGGGGTTAAGAAGGAGGGTTTAGTTGCTTAAGATAGCAATAGACAGATACGAGATATGGGATGTGCGATAGAATTTACTGGCTAAAGCTTAGTTCAGACGAACATGCTAGAAAATTCGACACAAGCACGGCAAAGGGAGGACAATAAATGAATAATACAAGAAAGATATGATACTATCCCATCCTGATTCTTTCATTACTATTTCGTGTACCTGTCTTGACCATCATAATAACTAACCCATCGACCCGAAAACAATTTGGGTATATCCTCTTCTATACACAATAAACACAACCTCCCGTCATGATATCATTCAATACATGTACATCAAATAATACAGACCAAAAATTTAAATACGCAAAACACCGCCATCAAAATTCTATCCACTCAAAACTCCCGCTAATTCGCAATGATTACAAGGAACTCCCCTTGGTCAAATACTGTGCAATGATACCAGCCTCTGGCGTTTCATATGGTGTCCTATACTCACTCGTTCCTCGACTAGTAACCCCTCCAATATCAAGTCCATTGGTTGAAGTAAGACCACCATGATCATCATCAAAGTATCCCTTTTCTTTTCCCTTTGAGCTCGTCATCCTGAATTTTTCCATATTGACCTCACTTTTTGTTTGGGAAAGATTGGCGCTACCAGATCGTTTCTTCTTTTTATCCCCCTTTCCTTCCTTCCGCTTTCCAATCAAAGTTTCATTCTCGACCGAAGAATTTCCAGCTGTACGCATTCCTCTAAATTCTTTGACAACTTCAGCAAATCCTTCCTCCAAAGTCTTCATTCTTGCCAACATCAATCTTCCCATCATACCATCTGCACTTTCCTCTTTCTTATCACGTTTCATCGCCATCTTTGTAGCGATAGCCATTTGAGTTTGAAATGAACTTGGTACTGCTCCAAGTTGTGCATGCTCAAGACCCATTTCCGATAAACTGATATTCAAACTAGATTCTTTATGACGCACAACGCGATTGCGTGCAGGATCTGGTTTAGTGATAATTGGAACAGATTGAAAATTTGTACGGTTGGGTAAAATAGGACGTGGTCGAACAGTTGTATTTGTGAAGTTGGCGGTCTTTGGAGTGCGAGATCCTGATTGACCTACTGGGGTGTTGGTTCCGGTATTAGCTTGTGAATACATTTTTGCTGTTAATGGTCGTGAACGAGGAGGAGAATTGGACGAAAATGAAGCGTTTTGAATGAGAGGGTTGAAGAGAATCGTTGTCGTCGATAAATTCCTATCATGAGCCTTCTTCTTTGGTGTAGACTTGGATTGCTTTGTAGGAGAATGGTTTTGTTGAGTGATATCTTGTTGAGGATCAAAAGCCGCAATGGGAGAAATAAATCTCGTTGCAGTTGGGGTTTGAAAATAATCTTCTTCTGATTCAGCACCACTTTGACTGAAATTCGTCGCTGTATGTTTATCTTCGGTATGTTCCTCTTCATCATTGGACAACAATTCATCATCGCCATCTGCATCTGTATGACCTCCACCAAACTCATTTGGATGTAATTCATCATCTGAAATTCGAGTCATGTCATGAAACCCTGTAGACATAAATTCTGCTGGATCACTAGCCACAGATCTATTTCCGGAAAGCTGACGACTCAATGCACGACGTCTCATGGCATTTGCTTGCCTAGATTGTCTTCGCATCTCTAATCTTTCCAATATAGAACGATCTTGCTCTTGTGGTGGACTAGCAACATCTCCTTGACGTTCCATCCAATTATTGATGACAGTTTGAGTTTGTCGACGATCAAAACTAGGACGATTTCTACCAAGATTATCTCTCGGCGTTAGCCTAAATACTTCATCAAGAGCTCTGTCTTTTTGAAAACCAGCAACAGAAGATTCATGTCTCCTCAAATTGGGACTAAAGAGTCCATGCCTACGATCTTGGAATGATATTGTTCGCTTCGATCGTTGTCCAGCTTTCTCAACCAGATCCGTAGGTTCAAAGACAGATCTTGCCAAGAAAAGCTTTTCGTAGACGCATATGCTGAATAGTAAGGGAAAATGAGTCATTTTAATGACAGTACGATTCATCTTGATGAATGTTCTGAAGGGAAAAAAGAATCTGAATGGTGTGAGAACCCAAGCAAGGATGTTCGTGGGTGCTACATAAGAGAAGAGAGCATCATTCTTAACCATAGAAATTGTGTTGACAGCAAAAACGAATTGATGTTCTTCGTTTGCGTTTGAGACAATTGACATAAAGGAGTTTGTTAAAACCGTAATGAGAATGGTAATAACGAGGAAGTGACAAATGAAGAGGAAAAGCACAAGTAATGCCTTTCCTAAGAAATTGTAAGTTTCCCATGCTTCCCATGCCGCAGGTGTAAATCCCATCAATATCTGAAAGATCTTGTAGGCAACTCCTGCTGCATCATATTCGCTTTTCCCAAACGATAGAGTGAATGCAACAAAAAACCCACTGCAAGCTATCAAGATTAGTACAAATACCGCCACAAGATCAATTGCCATCAATCTAAATGCGATTAATAGTTGGGAGAAGTATCGATAATGGTCCAGAACACTGAATAATCGAGGGAAGAGTAGGATTGCATTAGTTGCAAGAACATCATATGCCATACTATTCCACTCTTCTCTTCCATAGTCCACCAAGAAAATGCCATATAACCGCATGCAATAGTAAATAGTAAGTAAAACTAGAATACCCAAGTCGAAAGCATTCCAGAAACTCATAATATATAACGAGAATCCTTGTTCATTGAACCCAACTACCTCATCAAGCATGAAACCTGCACTCCAAAACCAAAATATGACTTCGAGGCCAGTGATGTCTGTTGATCTTTGACTGAGAACGGCAAGAAAAAGAACAAGAAGAATAGCAAGTGAGCAAGTGGAGAAGAACTGTCGATATCTCGGTACCCTCAATCTCGAAAGCTTGAATAGAGATGCATCTCTTGGATCATATAATGTGACCGTTCTTCTAGTCAAGGTTTGAATCGCTTGTTCCGATTCTGGTTCTTTATTTTGAAGTTTTGGGCGAATCATTGTTGCTCCATATTGAAGTTGATCACGGGTAAGTAATGGGACCGCACTTTCATTGCTTGGACTTGGTTTCTTACATCCACTCCGATTTATCGTTGTACGATGAAGATTATCCGCCGCAGAGTGGAATACAATGGTTCCAGCCCATATAGCCTCTAGTTGTTGCACTACAAGTGGATGTGCCAAGAATCGTTTCGCAGACGCCCTGATAGCTACTTCCAAAGTTGAGATCCTGGCAGCAACTGGTTTTGCGCGATTTCTTTGATTCCAATTCGTCATGGGTGGATTTGGTTCCGCTAATCCTTGTAATGGAAAGAAGTCATAGGAAAGAGCATCGATCAACTCTCTGGTATTGTATTCCTTCAATAATTTGATGGCTAGAAGCTCACAAACTAAAGCTCTTGTTAAGCTATTGCCTGCATTACCTGGATTTGCTTGACTCTCCTTTTTGAATTGTAAACAATTCGCCATCAACGCATATAGAGTAGCTCGAGAAAAGTGCGAAATTCGAATTTGTTGTTGCATAGGCTTCACCAAGAACTGTGAGACTTGTGGTGACCGTAATTGATCCCATGTCAATGTGGTTTCCGTTCGCGGGAGTATGATAAGTCGAATGGCATGTGTGAGATTATATACTGGAAGCGCATCTAATCAAATGTTAGTATTGGGCTTCTAGAGAGAGATGCAGAAATGCTAGATACCAAGATGTGCCGCGGAGAATATAGGCAAGAGAGGTTGATCTTCACCACCATCTTCTTCTTCTACTTCGTCTCCATTACTTTCTTCATCTTCATCCTCCCCATCATTTTGTTGCGCAATCTCTTCCTCTGAATCATCTTCTATTTCCGTTTCCGTAAAATCTGCGGATGCATGTCGAGGTGAACGTTCTCTTCTAGCCTCAGCTGGTGAAGATCGGTCAACATTCAGAGTCGAGAAAGGAGAATGTATTTCTTGAGCGCGTCGTCGGGCTTTCGCTGGTCGCAGTAATGAAGATAACATTTTTGTTTGGAATGTTTTCAGCTCAAAATCCGCGGGTGAGCGATTTAATCCTTAATCCTGTATAATCGGAAAGGTAGGAAGGACCGGGAACGCTGGTTGCGAAGGAGGCTGCCTGTCTTGATTTATTTCATCTTGTAGCGACGGGGGTTGAGGAAATGAAGCAAGGCAATCAGAAAATTGATCGAGCGAAGGAATCGTTTCAAAGTTTTGTAAAATGTTAGTACATTAGTAGTAGCGTTTGCAAAGAACGAAATAAGTAAATAAATCTTTGATTTCCAGGTTATCGCGTTTCTCAAGCACTTTTTAATTATTTCTCGTGGCAGCAGCTCCCAAAACCAAGGCTCGGTCGTTCGAAGAGTGGATGGATATTCCTTGACGAAGATCAAGCAACCAATTTATCCAAATTATCAAATTATATAGTTATCAAAACAATATGAAGGAAGAGAAAATGAAGATATAAAATCTCTCACTGTAAAGAGTAAAGGTAGACGATGGCAAACCTAAATCCGGTTTCATTTGCTCATCTCACAGCCCTCCCAAATCCACATAGGATATAAAATCGATATTCAACCCATACTGGTCGAGATTTGGGGAAACCTAGAATCATCGATCTCAACTTTTTTTTTGGAAGGCAATCAATCATGTCATTGCACACCGAGACACCCTTGATGCTATGCACACTTCTCGTTTATATGCATGCTGCCGATCAAATCCTGGCCAATAGATTCCTATCTCATCCAATCAATCACAGAAGCAAGCACGAGAACATGAATTGAGGGTTTATCTAAAGATAAAAGACGGAGGTCGGTCGGCACGTCCTCACTGAGTCTCACTCTGTCAACGTAAAACAACGCGTCCGTTCATATGAGATGTCCTCGTGATAGAATGAAGATAGATAAGATAAATACATGATCTGGATCTATCTAGGTCACATCGTTTCTCTCGTTTTCACTCTCACATCTTTCATCACTCATCTCTCATCACTTATCTCTCATCACTCATCACTCATCTCTCATCTCTCATCTCAATCCAACGAGATATCATGATCATTATCATGCATGCACTAGAATTCATTTCGAGAAGTTGGTGGCTTGAAAACTTTTAATATGGGGGAAGGTCAGCTCACCTTATTTGCATGATGAAAAGAAGAAGCTGCCAAAACAAGAGTCTCATTGGATTACTAGGTAGGTGGTCAAGATAGTAATCCATCCTTTCGCCATTTACCAAATGTTCTGGCCCAATTTGTAGCTTTCCTAGAACAAGGACGATATTATTCCATTTTCATGAATGATTTTCCTCCCCTCTTATACTATATAAACTAAGCGTCGATTGTGTCTCAAATCTCAAACCAATTAATTTCCTTTCCACAGGAACGAGGTAAATCGTCAGAAGCTACGAGTGAGCTCATCAATTCACATCCGCGTGAGAGATCATGAGGGATCTGAAAGATTGGTACATTATCAGAGACACACGTATCTATTTTATATTTTGCAGCTTCCGCTATTGGACAATGAGCAGATGGTCAATGTCAATTGGTGTGGCTCGTGGGTGATATAGGTAGTAATCATATAACGGATTCTGGTACAAAATCGGTTATGAGTGGGGGTGGAAGAGAGAATGAAAAAATCCTTCTGGGGACTTGCTTGAACTCATAAGGCTCACATCATTTAATCAACGAACAGACCGCTATTCTACCCCATGGTATATATGGACTTCAACAATAAATGGCCGTTCTTCCTGTAAGTCTGACTCGCATGCATTTCATGGCTTGGTTCGAGATCTTCTGCTTTTGGTATGCGAGATGTAGTGAAGATTGATTCTGCATGACAATATCAATATACTCACCGCACAAACATTGATGGAGTGAATATAATGCTTAAGGTTATTGCTGGGTAACCAATATTTCAAGCCACCAAGATAATTAATTGTTCATACGGCAACAGCGGTGGGCGATCTTTGTAATGGAAACTTCCACATGAAGATAGAGGAGTGTACTAGGTGGGTAGGTATCGACATCCATATAGTTGCTGTGTATCAGTCCATGTATCTGTGCCAGTACCAGTATCAGAACACAGAAACGGCACCCTCTAATGCAAACTTTCGGTGTAGGAGAGGCAGAAAAGATATTGAGCGTCAAACAGCTGCTGTATACTGATTTATATTCCGCCAACACAGCACAGAACATTCTACCTCTTCTACTATAGCAACCTCACTGTAGCAACCTCATTCCCAATAAAATGCTGTGAAATCTTTCTGTATGTAAGATGCATCTTGAACATTACTTATTACAAGTGATTATTACAAAAGTACTTGATAGTAGATACCCACGTGCGATCCACGTGCGATCCACGTGCTACCCAGGTGAGTCTTCAGTCCACCTTTATGACATAATAACATCGGTGTTATTCTGGCAATATACCGGTGAAAAGTTCTTGAGGGGCACGAGGGGTAGATGCAAGGCTGATGATAATTGGTGATAGCCTTGACTCTGTATCCCTGCTAGCTTCAGAAACTAAGCCCAATATCGAATCGGCTCCCCTCGGTTGTTCAGCACCAGAAAAAAAATTGAGGAGTTCCATTTCCTGGAGAGAAATTCTTAAAAGTCCCAAAAACTTATTCAACACTTTCAATCTTTTATATCCAAAAAGTCGTACGGTCAGGAATTTTCTTTGATACTTGACCTACAAACTGGCGAACTTGGATCACTAAAGCACTCCTCAATCTGCTTTGCAGCTTGTTGAAGGGCATTTCTTGAAGTCCTTGCGCGCAGATCTCACAAAAACCTCTTTTCAATATCTTACTTCATAATGGCAGAAATAGTTTTCCCTCCAGTTGCCGCCCCAATCCTCAATGGCACAGATGAAGGACTCATCAGTCTGGAATTGAAGGATGGCACAATTTATCAAGGATATAGTTTTGGTGCGCAGAAGAGTGTCGCAGGAGAATTGGTCTTCCAGACAGGTATGGTGGGGTACCCAGAATCAATCACTGACCCTTCATACCGTGGACAAATTTTGGTCATTACGTTCCCTTTGGTGGGTAATTATGGTGTACCATCTCGAGAGACCATGGATGAACTCCTCAAGGATCTGCCAGCACATTTCGAAGCATCTCAAATCCACATTGCAGGTTTGATTTGCGCTTCGTACGCGGGCGAAGAGTTTTCTCATTTCCTCGCAACCTCCTCTTTGGGAACATGGTTGAAAGAGCAAGGTGTCCCAGCAATCTATGGTGTTGATACCAGAGCTTTAACCAAGAGAATACGAGAAGAGGGTAGTATGCTTGGACGAATGTTGTTGCAAAAGAACATTCCTGCCAATGGAAACAACAACATCTCTACTTTATCCACCAAGGATTGGAGATCATCATTCGAAGCAATTGACTGGGTGGATCCCAATGCCAAGAACCTTGTCGCAGATGGTAAGTTTCTACATTGCCATAGCCCGAATGAAGGGCTAACTTAATGCCTTAGTATCAATTCGCGAGCCAAAATTATACAAACCTGATCCTTCGAATGCGTTGAAACATCCTTCTGGTAGACCTATACGTGTGTTGTGTTTGGATGTTGGTTTGAAATATAACCAATTGCGTTGTCTTGTAAAGCGTGGTGTGGAAGTTCTCGTTTGCCCATGGGATTATGATTTCCCAGCTCTCGCCGGCAAGGATTATGATGGTCTATTCATCTCCAACGGTCCCGGTGATCCAGCCATGATGGACAAAACTGTCAAGCACATTCAGTCTGCTTTAAAGGAGAATCGAACACCAATCTTCGGTATCTGCCTTGGACACCAACTTCTCGCTAGAGCTGCTGGTGCTCAAACCGAAAAGATGAAGTTCGGTAATCGTGGACACAACATCCCATGTACCAACATGTTGACGGGAAAATGTCATATCACATCCCAAAATCACGGTTTCGCTGTCCAAACTAGTTCCTTGCCTTCGGAATGGGAGGAACTTTTTGTCAATGCCAATGATGGAAGTAACGAGGGTATCAGACATGCCAACAGACCATACTTCAGTGTTCAATTCCATCCAGAAAGTACTCCTGGACCAAGGGATACTGAATTCCTCTTTGATGTCTTTATCAACACTATCCAAAAGACTCTCGATGACGAGAAATTTCTCACCGCACCAGTTGTTTTCCCCAGTGGAGAGAAAGCTGAGAACGAGAAGCTTACACCTAAGGTCAACGTCAAGAAAGTCCTTGTCTTGGGTAGTGGCGGTCTCAGTATTGGTCAAGCAGGTGAATTCGATTACTCTGGAAGTCAAGCTATCAAGGCTCTTAAGGAGGAAGGAATCTATACCATCTTGATCAACCCTAACATCGCTACAATTCAAACTTCCAAGGGATTGGCTGATAAGGTTTACTTCCTTCCTGTCACAGCTGATTTTGTTCGCAAGGTCATCAAGCATGAAAAACCTGATGCAATTTACGTCACATTTGGTGGTCAAACTGCTTTATCCGTCGGTATTCAACTCAAGGATGAATTTGAAGAACTCGGAGTTCGCGTGCTCGGTACCCCAATTTCCACTGTCATCACTACTGAAGATCGTGAGTTGTTCGCTCGAAGTATGGAGTCGATTGGTGAAAAATGTGCCAAATCCGCTTCAGCAAACAACGTCGACGAGGCTATGCACGTCGTAAAGGATATTGGCTTCCCAGTTATCGTTCGTGCCGCGTATGCTTTAGGAGGTCTTGGGAGTGGTTTTGCAGACAATGAGCAAGAATTACTTGAACTTTGCAACAAAGCATTCGCCGCTAGTCCTCAAGTTTTGATCGAGCGAAGTATGAAGGGATGGAAGGAAATTGAGTACGAGGTTGTCCGTGATTGTCGCGACAACTGTATCACAGTTTGTAACATGGAGAACTTCGATCCCTTGGGTATTCACACTGGAGACTCAATTGTTGTTGCTCCTTCCCAAACATTATCCGATGAGGATTACAACATGTTGAGAACCACAGCTGTCAATGTCATTCGCCATCTTGGAGTTGTTGGAGAATGTAACATTCAATACGCACTCAACCCTGACTCTAAGGAATACTGCATTATCGAAGTCAACGCTAGATTGTCAAGATCTTCAGCCCTCGCATCTAAGGCTACTGGATACCCATTGGCTTTCATTGCCGCAAAACTCGGTCTTAACATTCCCCTCAACGAAATTAAGAACTCAGTCACTCAACAGACCTGTGCTTGTTTCGAACCATCTTTGGATTATGTCGTTGTTAAGATGCCACGTTGGGATTTGAAGAAATTCACTCGTGTTTCTACACAACTTGGTTCATCGATGAAGAGTGTCGGTGAAGTCATGAGTATTGGAAGAACTTTCGAAGAAGCTATTCAAAAAGCAATTCGTGCTATCGATTTCCACAATTTGGGTTTCAGTGCAACCAAGGCTTTAATGTCTATTGATGATGAACTCCAAACACCTTCCGATCAACGTCTCTTTGCCATTGCCAATGCTATGCAATCTGGTTACTCTGTTAACAAGATTTGGGAAATGACAAAGATTGATAAATGGTTCTTGAACAAGTTGAAAGGATTGAATGACTTCAGCAAACACATGTCAACCTTCAACACTAGCACCATCTCATATGACCAAATCAAACAAGCCAAGCAACTTGGATTCTGTGATAGACAATTGGCCAAATTTTGGGACTCCACAGAACTTGCTGTTAGATTGTTGAGAACCGAAGCTGGTATTGTCCCAGTTGTTAAGCAAATTGATACCGTTGCTGCCGAGTTCGAGGCTCATACCAACTATCTTTACATGACCTACAATGGATCTGAGAGCGATATCTCTTTCAATGACCACGGTGTCATGGTTCTCGGTTCAGGAGTTTACAGAATTGGCTCTTCTGTCGAATTCGATTGGTGTTCCGTTCGTGCTATTAGAACTCTTCGGGAATCTGGTTTCAAGACTGTCATGGTCAACTATAACCCTGAGACCGTCAGTACTGATTATGATGAAGCCGACAGATTGTACTTTGAGAACATCAACCTCGAAACTATTCTCGATATTTATGAATTGGAGTCTTCAAGTGGTGTTCTCATTGCTATGGGAGGTCAGACACCAAACAACATTGCTCTTCCACTTCATCGACAGAATGTCAAAATTCTCGGAACATCACCAGAAATGATTGATACTGCCGAGAATCGTTTCAAATTCTCTCGTATGCTTGACGGTATTCATGTTGATCAACCAACATGGAAAGAATTGACTAGTTTCGAGGATGCTAAAACATTCTGTAACAAAGTCTCTTATCCAGTGCTTGTTAGACCTTCATATGTACTTTCAGGTGCAGCTATGAACACTGTTTACTCTGAACCAGATCTTGAAGCTTATCTTGCTCAAGCTGTTGAGGTTTCAAGAGATCATCCAGTCGTTATCACCAAATATATTGAAAATGCAAAGGAAATTGAGATGGATGCTGTTGCAAAGGATGGTGTTATGGTTGGCCACTTTATCTCTGAGCATGTCGAAAATGCCGGTGTGCATTCCGGTGATGCTACTCTGATCTTACCACCTCAAGATCTCGACCCTACTACCATCAAGAGAATTGAAGAAGCCACCCGCTTGATTGGTAAAGCTCTTAACATCACTGGTCCTTATAACATTCAATTTATCGCCAAGGACAATGATATCAAGGTCATCGAATGTAATGTTCGTGCATCTAGATCGACTCCATTCGTTTCAAAGGTCATGGGTGTTGATCTTATTGAAATGGCTACCAAAGCTATCATGGGTGTACCATTCATGCCATACCCACCTACCGAATTGCCTGCAGGCTGCGTTGGTGTTAAAGTACCTCAATTCAGTTTCTCTCGACTTTCTGGTGCTGATCCAGTTCTTGGTGTTGAGATGGCTTCTACTGGAGAAGTTGCTTGTTTCGGTCGTGATAAGTATGAGGCCTACATTAAAGCATTGATCTCTACTGGATTCAAGCTACCAAAGCAAAACATTCTTCTGTCTATTGGTTCATACAAGGATAAGAAGGAAATGCTTCCATCTGTTGTCAAGCTTCAAAAGATGGGTTACAAACTCTTCGCTACAGCTGGTACCGCAGATTTCTTACAAGAACATGATGTTCCAGTTCAATACCTCGAAATTCTCGGAAAGGGTGAGGATGACCAAAAATCCGAATACTCTTTGACTCAACATCTTGCCAACAACATGATTGATCTTTACATCAATCTTCCTTCCAGCAACAGATATAGAAGACCTGCAAACTATATGAGTAAGGGTTACCAAACTAGGCGTATGGCTGTCGATTACCAAACACCTTTGGTAACCAATGTCAAGAACGCCAAGATCCTTATCGAAGCCATTGCAAGACATTATGATATGGAAGTCAGCGGATTTGATGCTCAAACCAGTCACCGAACTGTTGTTCTTCCTGGTCTTATCAACATTGCATCCTTCGTTCCTGGCATTACCACTCCTGGTAGCCGTGATTTCCAAACTGTCACCAAAGCATCAATCGCATCTGGTTTCAGTATGATTCGTGTTATGCCTCTTGGTCTTGATGGAGCAGTTACTGATGCTAGAGCATTAAAGGTAGCCCAACTCAACAGCAAACTTGGTTCATCTTGCGATTACAATTTCTCTGTTGCCGCTACTTCTTCCAACGCCGATCAAATTAGTCAAGTCACTGGTGAAGTTGGTTCTCTCTTCATCCCATTCAATCACTTGTCCGATAACATCAGCAAGGTAGCTGCTGTTACCGCTCATTTTGAATCTTGGCCATCTTTCAAGCCAATCATCACTGATGCAAAGATGACCGATCTTGCATCAATCCTTCTTCTCGCAAGTCTCCATAGCAGAAAGATTCACATCACCAATGTCACCACCAAGGATGATATTGGATTGATTGATTTGGCTAAGCAAAAGGGTCTTCAAGTCACTTGTGATGTTGCAGTCTACGCTCTTTTCTTCAGTCAAGATGATTACCCTGAAGCTTCCTTCCTTCCAACTGCCAAGGACCAAGCAGCATTATGGGAACACATGAACATCATTGATGTCTTTTCCATTGGTAGCTTACCATATCAACTTGCAACTATTGCAAAGGCAGAGGCAGACGCTGCTGTTGGTATTGCTGACACTTTGCCTCTATTGTTCTCAGCTGTTGCAGATGGTAGACTTACTGTCGATGATATTAAGGCTCGTCTCCATGATAATCCAAAGGAGATCTTTGAAATTCACGATCAAGTCGGAGCTTCCGTAGAGATTGAGATTGATAGACCACACACTGTTAAGCCAGGAGCTGTTTGGTCACCACTTGTTGGAAAGGTTACAAGAGGAGCTGTTCAAAGAGTCATCTTCCAAGATAAGACTGCTTGTCTAGATGGTTTACCAACTCAAGATGCTATTGATGGTAAAGATATGTCATCTCACCTTATTGATTTGCATACAGCACCACAATCACCACTTGTCAAGGCTCATCTTGGATCCCCAGCTATGGGACCAAGACCTGATAGCTCCCATGGATTAAGAAAGTTCTCTTCATTTGCTGGTACATCATCTTCAGCTATGCGACCTGCAACTCGTTCAAGGTTTTTGGATGGTGCTGCCAATCAAGCACCACAATTTGGTTCAATAGCTGAAGATTTGGGTGCTCCATTATACCCTCAACCAACCATCTCACCATCTCTACAAACCCTCCTTGGTCAATCACCATTCAAGAATCAACACGTTCTATCAGTTAATCAATTCTCCCGTCAAGATCTTCATTTACTTTTCTCTGTTGCTCAAGAAATGAGATTGGGTGTTCAACGTGAAGGTGTTCTTTCCATCCTCAAGGGACGTCTTCTTTGCACAATGTTCTACGAACCATCTACTCGCACGTCTGCATCATTTGATGCTGCTATGCAAAGATTGGGAGGACGAACAGTTGCAATTGCTACTTCTCATTCTTCCACTGTCAAGGGTGAATCACTTGCAGATACCATCCGTACTCTTGGTTGTTATGGAGATGCTATTGTCCTTCGCCACCCTGAAGAGAGCAGTGCTACCACTGCTGCCAAGTTCTCACCAGTTCCAATCATCAACGGAGGCAATGGAAGCAAAGAACACCCAACTCAAGCATTCTTGGATTTGTTCACAATCAGAGAAGAATTGGGTACTGTTGGTGGTCTTACTATTACCTTTACTGGTGATCTTAGATATGGTCGCACTGTTCACTCTCTCGTCAAGCTTCTTCAACATTATGATGTTCACATTCAGCTTGTCTCTCCACAAGCTTTATCCCTCCCACAAGAAATCTTGGCACTTATCAAATCTAAGCCTGGTCAATTACTTTCAGTTTCTACTGAGTTGACCCCAGAGATCCTTGCTAGATCCGATGTCCTTTACTGTACTCGTGTCCAAAAGGAACGATTTGCCGATTTGGAAGAGTATGAAAGATTGAAGGATAGCTTCATCATTGACAACAAGACATTGCGAAATGCAAAGAGTTCAATGATCGTTATGCATCCATTACCAAGAAACGCCGAGATTGGAGAAGAAGTGGATTTCGATCAAAGAGCTGCATACTTTAGACAGGTACGTTGTCAATTTTCCCCAATTATATTACCTTTACTAATGTCTTTATAGATGAGATATGGCCTTTACTGTCGCATGGCATTGTTGGCTTTAGTATTAGCCCCGTAGTTTGATTTCATATAATCACTTCTTTTGATCAAGATCATGGGCATGGCGTTGTATATAGGGAAGGAGGGAAAAGTCGATTTTTTTGGTTATATGATTACGAGTAAATGCATTAGATATGAGTAGACACTCTTTTATGATTGTAGAAATGGTTTCGATTTGTAATTTTGATGTATATTTAATTGGAGTGATGGGAATATGTATATATGTGTATGTTTGTACATACGTATATATGGTTATGTATTTATCTGGGTTGGGTTATGTATATGTATGTATGTGTGGGTTGGTGTATAGCGTAAATGTATATATAGATTTATGTAGTTTAGGTATTAATATTAATGTTGTTATTATTTGTACATTTCACCTTACTTCTTCTTGGTTTCTTCATTCTGATATGCCTAGGTAGGTACATCGATCCTCAAGCAGTGAGCATGAGGTTTGTTGGAATTTATACTAAATCTTTTCTGTTCACATTAGAAGATCAACGTCAAACTCATCGAAAGGCTTAAAAGCGAATCAGACGGTAGGATATCAGTTATCAATGATCATGACAATGACAATGACTGTATACACAGGTGAAAAGGGGCTATTGGAGATGGTATAAAGACTGCACGTAGGTAGGTACGTGTTCGGATTTCGGTACCAACGAGGACGTTCTAGACACCTGCGAGATTCACGAAAAGATCTAATGACGTTTATCTTGTTGACACTCTTCAATATTTCAATGCGAGTATGGCGATCCGATGGTGTCTCAGACTCGAGCGTGTTGAAATATGGATAAGAGTGTGGGTATACAATTTATTTCGTTCATGGCGAGGTAGCATTGCAGATGAAAAGCTTTCGCGATATCTGTGCAATACATTTTTTCAATCACGAATCAAGGATACAAAGTTGTCTTTCCCTTTGATAGGAGATATAAACGGTGGGACATTAGAGATTTATGAGGGATTTATAAGAATTACAAAGAACTAGAAATAATGAAATGAACTAGAGCGATAGAGTGGAGAAGATATACCATGTTGGGAAGTCCGCCTTCTCTTTAAACTTATGATATGTTATGTGCGAATAATAACTACCGTATTGGAGATCTATGTTTATCAATCGACAACGGTGTCATATGTAATAGCTTCCCGTCCACTCCTGTATCCACTTCAATCCCTCGGAAAAAGTATGTTGCAACCCTACCTCAACACCAGACCATACCAACATCTATATCCACGACATGATCACTACCAATATTTTATCTTCATTGAGTTCATCGGCAACATGGTCTTTCTCATAGAATATATGAAGTAACCTCACAAATCAAAGCAGAACCCCAAAACCATCTCCCCATACCCCAACATCTATTTATCTCCACAAACCCCAACTTTCGGCCGAAATATCTACAATAAAATCCTAAAATGTTAGAACAAACAGACCCGTCCGCATTGCAAACAAACAAGGGGCCGCGCAACCGTCCACTCCTTCCAACGCCTTCCACTTATTGACAGCCAACTACTTTCGACGTGTTGGTCAAGTGTGGAGAGTCCAAGTCCCCACAATGTTCACATCCGGAGTCAAGACCGTGAATAGACCACGAATTTCTCGTCTTACCTCTCTCATTTCATCTTAGTATGCAAGGCTTACACGGGGCATTGTTACATTCTTCCATTACCTGGGAAGGAGTTGGTGCTGCTTTGACAAATCTCGGGGGTGTGCTTATCTTTTGTGATTCTGGTGGCAAGTTCCATACTGTTGGGTGGTTTTTGGCAATGGAATGGATATTCGGCAGCATGACGGGATGATGAACAGGGGGAAGACTTCTTGGAAGCGGCATGGGATTTTAGGTCAAGGTCCCTAACGCCCTTCAATGGAGATGGGGTGGAGAATGGGGTGGGTGGATTCCCTGAATATGGGGAAGATTTTCTCCTACATTTTAAACATGTATCCTCGATTCGACTTGAACTATTTGTGATCATAAACTTCTTCTTTTCTTTCTTCCGTTACGAGTTCCTCTCTTTAATCACTTTGAAGTCTTGGAGGGGTAGTTTTGCAGTTTCAGACTTTCTTGGTTTCTGACAAGATTGAAGTTGGTTTAACGTTGGTTTTTGTACCATTTGAGATCAAACTTCGATATCAAGTTGTCTTGAACAAATCAACATAATGGCAGTTACTGCAGGCGCCATTGAGCGTAAAGATTCAAATCCCAGTGGTGAATTCTCTGAAACCATAGATCATTCAGCAACTCATGCAACTTACATCGAAGCAAATGAGTTATCTGAAGAACATAGACAATATCTTCTTGCACGACATGGAACTCTTGATTTAGATCCTTTACCTGGACCTAGTGAAGCTGATCCATACAATTGGACAAACTCAAACGTATACACCGAATGCATCTAATTCATCTCTCTGCATTAGCTAACAACAAGTATAGAAAGTTACAAATCTTGTACTCGTTGCACTTCATGCATGTATGTCAACATTTACAGCAGCAGCCATTATTCCAGCCTACGAAAGTATCGCGGAAGAACTAGGTGTATCACTTCAACAAGCTTCATATCTTACCTCACTTCAAATTGCCATCTTGGGAGGAGCTCCCCTCCTGTGGAAACCTCTATCCAATACTTTCGGCAGAAGACCTCTATTCCTTATATCACTTCTTATTAGCTTGGTTGGAAACATAGGATGTGCTAAATCTCCCACCTATGCCACTATGGCACTTTGTCGTGCCATTGTTGCATTCTTCATTTGTCCTGCTGGAGCAATTGGTAGTGCGGTGGTTACAGAATCATTCTTCAAGAAAGATCGAGCTCGTTATATGGGAATCTGGACACTTATGGTAACAATTGGAGTTCCATTTTCTCCCTTCGTCATGGGATTCGTCGCCAACAATGTAGGATGGAGATGGATTTATTGGATCTTGGCAATTATGAACGGAGTCCAATTCATCGCCTATGTTTTCTTGGGTCCAGAAACTAGATACCTTCGTCATGGAGTCCAACATCCTAAATCTTCTTTCAAAGAAGAATATCTTACTTTCCATCGAATTGATCCTTCACCACTTCGTGTCTACGATTTTGTCCACCCTCTTACTCTCTTCGCAAAACCATGTATTGTCATCCCAGCAGTTGCATATGCCATGACTTTCCTCTTCGGTTCCGTCCTCATCACCGTCGAACTCCCCCAACTTTTCGCCGAAAAATTCGGTTTCAATGCCCAACAACTCTGTTACCAATTTCTCGCTCTCATCATCGGTTCCGTCATCGGTGAACAACTCGGAGGCAATCTTTCCGATTTCTGGATGAATCGCAAGGCTCGCAAAACAGGTGTCCAGTCCGCCCCCGAACATCGTTTATGGTTAAGTTACGCGGGGTTCGTCCTCACTATTGTCGGAGCTGTGGTTTTCCTCGTCAGAACAGAACAGGCAGAGAATATGCATTGGAATATTACACCGGTTATTGGAATCGCCATTGCGGGCGTGGGAAATCAAATTGTCACGACGGTTTTGATTACTTATGCGGTGGATTCGCATCTTGAGGAATCGGCGAGTATTGGAGTTTTCATCACGTTTGTGAGACAAATCTGGGGGTTTATCGGGCCTTTTTGGCATGTTCTTCTTTTTCTCCTGAGATTCTTCAAAGGATATAGTAACTAATAGTTAAATTATAGGTTTCCATCTATGTTCACAAATCTCGGCCTCTCGAAAAGTGCAGCGGTCGCAGCGGGTCTCCTCATCGGAGTCAGTATTATCCCTACGTTTTTTGTGCAACTGATGGGGAAACGTTGGAGACCATCAAGACCTGCGGATTTGGCAGGAAGAGTGGCGGATCGGGAAAGAGGGGGAGTGGTTGCGGATGCGAATGAGAGTGTGAGTGGAAATGGAGAGATGAAATGATGAAATGATGATTAATGATTTGTATTTTTTATATTTGTATTTATGGCTTTTTTGGTCGCATAAATGAATGAATGAATAGAATTATTTATTCGACGATGAGGGTGATGATGATGCTTATTTTGTGTGTTGAGATTCTGGTGATTTGTAAAGGTGTATATTATATTATTATACATGTGTTTATATTTATGTGTATGTGTATATGTAGAGAAACGCCAGTGATGTGGATAGGGATAGAGATGTAATGGGATGAAATAAAATAAAATAAAATGAAATGGATGAAAATGGATAAGCATACTATAACTACGAATATTCTAGATATGAACATGAATATCAACATCGACATCTATTATTGCTCACCTAAATCCTTAAGTCTCAGCCTCGACCTTACGCCTTCACTCTAGTGCTCATGTTGCTCTTAGAAATCTCTCATTCTTATAGAATATAGTATGAGTAGAGTGTGTAGATAGTGAATAAGAGTGTGTTGAAATGAATAGTCTTTGTAATTTTATAATTTTATAATTTCATCATTTTATAATTTTATTATCTTATTATCTTAGTACGCCGGTCTGCCCCCCCCCTCCCCGAGTTTAGCGGCCGTCGCATCAGGCAAGGTGCGTGCACGGGTCGGCCGCCGCTTTCAACGTCTATAAAATTACGTACTTCCTTTTTCTTTATTAATACTCTTTTCAATTCGCTTTTAATATTCTTTTACTTAGTTATTCGACTTCGCTCTATCCTATTATACATTATCAACCCTTTCTATATAAACTCATTCCGAATGACCTTTATATTAGTCTTATTATAGCTAAAAAATCTCGAGGATATAATATATCTAATATTCGAATTTCCTATTTACTTCCTTAAATTTAATATATTTTATTAATTATAATATCAATTGTTTTTTTAAATTTCATTTTATTAATTGAGATATATATATAAAATTCAATTCAATTTTCTTCTTTCAATATTACTTTATTATAATTCTTATAATACTATCCTTCAGTGTTACGGGAGCTGCCTCTAGGGTCACGTGGAAGTGTCTAGAGATCTCTCGAGGTGGTTTAGACTAGACTTCAAGTAGGAATTCAATAAGGTTATAACTGGTTGCAATTCTCGTAACTATAGTAATGAAACTAATGATTGTTCTTGAGCACGAAGCTCTACATTGTAATGAAACCCATTCCCTTATATAGACCTTCGTTCTCGTCTGGATAGCTTGGGTAGACTGTCTATCCTGTCTATCCACGGATAGCCTGGATAGCTTGCCTATCCTGTCTATCCATCACGTGACACTTGCCCCGTGACCTATATGATACTACTGCTTATCTAACCTGTGCTTACTAGATAACCTGTAACCGCTATCCCTCCTGTGCCTACTGTAGGATAGGTGCCAACAAAAGATATGTACCTATCTTTTAATCATTGCTTATTGATTCGGTTACCGCTATCTTTCGTTACCCTTTAATCCAACTGTCCCTACAGTGCTGTTTTCGTAGGTTCCAACACCAAGGCCTTAGGTTTATCTTATAATCCATGTTGCGGTGCGGGTACCTCCGTAACATTCAGTAATTCTGTTCATAACGTTTTCGCCTTATTTTTGTATTCATGCATTAGGATTTGCCCAATCGAAAAAATACCTTACGATAATATAGCTAGCTACTACCTAGCTACACCGCGAATGAATGACATGTTGAGGGACGGATTCTAATGAGTTTCCTGTATCGTGAGATAGTAGTATAAGCTGTATGCATCGAATTAGGCTGATTTGTGACGAGACAAGCCGATTCTTGCCAGATATTCTTAAAACGGAATACAAAACACCGGCGGTCTGAGCATCAGGCCACAAGCGGACACGGAGATGTAGGTTTTTACCAGAGGACAGGTTCTGGAGCTGCGCAGTTCCATTTTTACAAAGGGAAGGTTCTATCGGCATGCTGGAGAGACAAGGAGAAGCCATTAGGAATATATACGCTTTATTATTGATAATCAAGAAACAATATTAAGAATATATCTTATATAAAACGGATTGTATTAAGAGTAAAAGGCTGTATCATGAGAGTATGCGGAAATTTGTAGAGAATAGCCTTTTGAGCAATCCAAGTCAACAAATTATTATTATGAATTTGATAATTTTGATTATACAAGTTAAAGTATAAACTGAGGTCTATATCGAAATTCAATCCGTCTTTGTTCTCCTTGTTATTGTATATCTTCAATTCCTTGATTACATTCTCAATAATACTTATAATAAAAGATTCGTTTCAGCTTTTCCTAACTTTTTATTAAATATTATTCAATTACAAAAATGCTTTATAATAATGATATATCTATCTGATTACTTACTTGTATTATAAATTCTTTTATTATAAAGTAGAACAAATTAAATAAGCTTTTTATATTTCAAGATAAATGATAGATAATATATACTTTGACTTGAATTGATTTAGAATAAAGTATAATAATCTTTATTAAAAACATTTTAATCTTTTATATATTCTAAAATAAACAACTAAACATTAACGATTTATGAACTTGAGATATATATGAATGAATATAGATAATTATAAGGGTTGTAATAGAATATAGAAGTAGATTAGTAATATAATATACTTAATATTTCTACTAAAATGTAGTTCGCTTGAAGCTATTTATTTCTGTAATAAGAGCATTTACCGATTGTAGTCTGTACAATGAAAAACTGAGGTGAGTTGTAGGTTGGAATGTGCGAAAGTATGACAAAAGTACGCGGAAGGCTGCAGAGAGGGTGTTTAAGTAGGTAGGCCGGGTTTTCAACCTTTTGTCCCACCTATTGGGACCCTATTGGGCCAGGTGGGTTACCAAGGATCCAATACAATGTTGCCTAAGGCATTAACGCACAATATACGAGCGTGATGAGATATGGGATTACGACCCCACCACTCGACGTCCAACTCACAAAAAGCCGCAGTAACCAACTTTGCGAAGGATAATTTAAGGAAGGTCTTTGTACAGATCAGTGTTTTCCACTGCACAACTCTCTTATGATAAGGGTAACCTTAGCAAAATATCGCATAGCAAATCTCTATCGTTCCTTCGAATCTACAATTACATATACCAACGTATTGATTTCCGCCGACCGAGAATAATACCCCACCAAAAAGTCAAACACGTTCTTTATCCCATCGTCGAAAAGAGTGCTCTACAGCCTTGGACCATTAATAAAAAGAGAAATGATAATTTTTGGCCCAGGGGTCGCTGAAACTGTTGCAGATTCTGCTCGAACAAGCCTCGACAGAGAGATCGAACAGTTACGAGCTGAAGGCAGACTGGAAGCAGGGAAGAAAACCCTAGAGGGATTGAGATGGACGCCAGGACGCTTGAAGCTGCCCGAGGCTTTGAGAAGGTATGGTTTGCGCAAGGTCCTCGGCATACACTCGTGTTAACTTTTCTGTATAGAATATTGATCTTTCACCTCTCACTGCGCTCGGAATTGATACGAACAATATTGCGAAGGAGGATATCAAGTGGACTGGACCTGTAGTTTACGCAGATGTCCGGTCGGATCCTTTGAAGTACTCAAGTTCAGCTGCGGGAGGTGGCATATTCGGAATACTGGCACTAGGCAACCTTCCGCTGCCTGAAATTGGCGATAGCGGTAGTAAAGAGATCCAAAGCGGTTCGGTCGCATATTTCCGCGATTCTGATCCTGTTGTGTATCGTTCATGTGGAGGAGGACGCGGAATTCTGTTTTATATTAGCCTCTAATTATGCAAACAGATCCATGGATTAGGATAGAATAAAGTTATTCATATTCACCCTAGTTCGTTGCAAGTAGTCCGTCTGCGGAAACGCGGCGGTAGCTAGAGAATATCTTTCAGTTCAACGGTCCAACCAAGGTTTCAGGAGGATTCGTCGGGGTAGTGTTAATTTGTACAGGAATTTGTAAAGGTGGTAAGTAGTCCAATATATTCAACAGGTTTATCATGGATGGATCAAGAGCTTGTTGGTTCGAGGTATAATCCAAGGCGTTTGGTAGTTCGCCTGACATATTTAACAGGTTCATCATTGATGGATCAAGAGCTTGTTGGTTCGAGGTATAATCCAAAGCGTTTGGTAGTTCGCCTGACATATTCAACAGGTTCATCATTGATGGATCAAGAGCTTGTTGGTTCGAGGTATGTTCGGAAGAGTCTAGTAGGTCACTGGATATGCTTTGGTCACTCGTAGCCGGTATTTGGTGGGTCATACCTGATGTATGAAATTCTTGTATACCTGGATTGCAAGCGTGTGGATCCTGATTGATCGTACCAAAGGACAACAGATTGCTCTGTCCGGAGTCAAGAGAAGTTTCGTTTAGCGTATAGCGTCTGCGCTTTTCACCACCAACAGTGATATGATCGCTGCCTCTTTTCAAACCCAGATATTGATGTCGCATTGAACCAAGATGCTGTCCCAAGTTGATATAATTCCTGACTTGCTTGATTAAGGAAGTTTGAGTCGAAAGAAGCTCAGAGATAGTCCAGCCATAGGCGAGAAGACCAGAGACGATAGTACATGCTGCTGATTCATCTAATGATTCAGCACGCTTCTCAAGTTGAGGAAGTTTAGTCTTTCTGTATTCCAGAACTAGATGTATATCATCTCTGTTCATTTTAAGCTCCCATCTATTTCGAAAGCGTATATTAGTTATTGATAAGACAATCTAGAGCAGATCGATACTTACAGCGAGCTCACATTGGACCCGATTTCAAGTAGAGAACCAGGACCAGCCTTTTCTAACAGGAAAGTATAGTTCTTGCTTTTCTTGTAATCGTCCTTCAAATCTACCAATGAGGTACCGGAGATTCGAGCAAGGTCATTGAATACAGAAGTCTTCGTCTTATGTTGATGCTTCACTTTTAGCTGTCTTTGCTCCTCTTCCATATGATCAATATCATGGCTCAGAAATAACAAGGCGAGACGAGCAGCGCAATCATAACCTGCGGACCCAGAAACTATATTCTTGCGACCCTGCTGGAGTCGACAAAATCTTCGCAACTCTTCTTTCGGGCTCTCGAAAATTCCATCCTTAGAAGACCACAGTGTGTTGTACGACTCTTGAGGGAGAGCTTTAGCTTCTTGGATGCCTCGGATGGCTCGATTCAAACGTTTTATTCGATCCTGATCAGCGTCTGGAATGACTTTCTCAAAGTATGTCTTAGCAGATATCGAAACTTCTGTGTTTGATGAAGGATCTATTGCAGTGGGTAATCGTCGAGTAGTAATGTTTGATGCAGTTAAATTCGAGGCAGGTATATCAGATGAGCCGTCTCGTCTAGTGGGCTGCTGTTGAGCGACAACGTTTGATGGTATGTACAACGACAATGCTGGATCTGAGATAGAATTCGTAGCCGATGTAGAACCCGACAATGGGGAGTCGTGTAAGGCAACGTATGACGACGAAGTATTTTCTTAAGAAACATCTTTCACAGAAATTGATGCTGTCGATACTGGTGGTGCAAGTTCCAAGTTCGCCCATCGGCTCTTGTAAATGGTGGCCTTGTGAGCTTGCGGGATAAGGTTCCAACAATCCTCCACAGTACCGCGCTCAAAAAACTCTGTAAAGCAAGCTTCTAGTTTCTATTTTCAAATCAGTAAGATGTAGAATTGACGTATTGGATGTGTATTCAATCACCTTGAACTTTGTTATATCATTTGGCGATAATTTGTTCAAAGTTCATCATTGAAGCATAATAGACAAGTTGTTTCCAGGCTGATATTGTATAAATTATATTTTTACTCGCTTTGGCGCATTGCTACCAGTTCCCAAGCTTTTTCGAGAAACAGACTTCCTACCTAGCTCACCAAACTCCGCTAATATATAAGTAATAAAAATACTTTTCTGTTTAAGATAGACACCTTTGTTATATAGAGAATCTAGAGCAACAGTACGAGCAGCTTGACCCAGTTTTGTAAAATGCTCCAACAACGACGAACTTATCTCAATACTAAAGCGCATTTCATCAGCCCATTGAATCTGTTCCGCTATATCTCGAATAAGCCATGAATTTCTCTTCTCCCATAACCCCAAAGTGTTATCAGAATCGAGTGGATCGTAGAAAAACAGTGCAAAACACCAAAATAAAGTAATATCAAATATCCTAATATTTGAAGTACGAATACAATTACCAAGAATTGACAATTTGGTAATCAAACGTGTATGACGATGAAAATTGAGATTTATCGATAGTACTGCTTCTATCCATTTCTCCAGCTTCGAGTTAAGCATTTGCGATACTTTTAAATTATAGTCGAATTGCCGATTTAGTTCTCGAGAATCCAAGTTGGCAAGCTGTTCCCTGGCAAGCTCTTCTTCATCCGAATCGACATCGAAATCTATTCTAATATCCTGTTCGATATCGTCCAAGTTCACTTCGTCTGACGACTCTGATGACTCTTCGCAGCCAGAGAAAATGCCATGTACCGATACGGAGTTGGAGCTAATTGGAGATCGAGCCGGTGTTTCTTCTTCGAAAATGATGGATGATGACTGAGAGACCTGCACTTCTGGAGATAGCTGAGTATATAGAGGCGGTGACCGAGAAACTTGTACTTCCGGACATGGCTGAGCACATGGTGGCGGTGACCGAGGAACCTGCACTTCAGTCGACCTTTGTGCATCTTGTGTGGTATATGGTGGCAGTAGCGGCGGCGGTGATTTCCATTCTACTAATTCAGGCACTTGTCCAATGTACATTTCCCTCATATTGGTTTTGCGTGTGTCGGTAGGAGTGTTGCTTAAGCGATCATGAAGTCGTTTTAAGCCCACCCGCGCATAATCATTTGGCTTGATATATACAGCAAAGCTTGTCGTATTAGATAGAGACTCCAGATCACGAAGCAATTTTGCTGATGTCTTATCCCGTGGGTTAATAGTCGTAGTAGGCTTCTTCATAACGATAAAGCCCTTCGCACTTAGATCGAATTGTATATAGATAACCTGTAGTGAAGCGCTAAGTTCGGCATCGTGAACAGCAGCAATGTCGAGAGGAGATAAATCATCCATATTCGATATTGAATGAGGCTCAAGAGCATCTGCAAAGTCGGCATCTGGAGGAATAACCAGTAACATCTCTATATTCTGCTTCTTGATAGACACCTCAAGGGAAAAGTGAATATGAACATGTCCTTCTATATCATAGTATGCCTGTATGAAAAAGTTGAGATTCCGCCTGTTACGATTCGAGCGAGAGCCTAGGGTACATAGTGTACGACGTGATTGGTCTTCCCATTTTACAAACACTCTGTCGCGAAGGAGAGGTTGTAGCTCGAGTTTTTGAATCAGAAATCCAGTCAGATTCGACATAATTGCCTGTAACTATAATTAGCGATAAACGTAGTTAAGGATTGAATTAAAAAAATGATAGCCCACACTTGACGTGTGATTCCCAACCCACCCAGGCTATAGAGCAGCCTTGACTCTTAGACGAAATAGATATAGTTGTTCTAAGAAGTAGATGCTAAAGGACTACCACTGGCGGGGTTGTTCCAAGCAGCAGATACTGAAGGATTACCACAGGCGGGGTTATTCCAAATAGCAGATACTGAAGGATTACCACAGGCGGGGTTATTCCAACCAGCAAATACTGAAGGATTGCCACAGGCGGGGTTATTCCAAGTAGTAGGTGCTGAAGGATTGCCACAGGCGGGGTTATTCCAAGCAGTAGGTGCTGAAGGATTACCACTGGCGGGGTTGTTCTAACAACATAATATAGGAATAATTTCGATTCGTAATATATATTGTACGATAGAGATGGAGGGATATAGAAAGGGTGATAGAAAGGAAGTGGTCGTATAGTCGTAATAGATGTTATGCGATGGAGATGGATAAGATAGAGATGGCGATGGAAATGGAGGAATAGAGGGATATAGAGATAGTAATTGAAATAGAAATGGAAAGATATACAAATAGCAATGGAAATGGAAATAGAGATGGAATAGAAATGGCGATATAAATGGAAATGGAGGGATATAGAGATGACGATGGAAATGAGATGGCGATGGAAACACAGAGAAAGAGTGTAGGTTAATGCTACTTAAGTAAGCATACTAATAAGCGAGACCAAATACGGGAACCAACTGCAAGCCCCGGGCCACTCACGTTCTCACGTGCCTTAGCTGAGTCGGTATATACTGCGCATCAAAATTTCAGCCACCTCTACCGTCAAGCCACATGAAGCACCAAAAAAAAACCACCCTATGTGACCACAAAAAAGACACCACGTGAGCGAGAGCGATCAGCACTAAATAAGCGAGTGGAGCGCTATTACACTCTGGACTTAGAGTGAAAGTGTTTGGATCTTCCAATCTTTGTAGAAGGTAACACGGGTAGATAGATAGATGTTGAACAGTAAATTTGTTCATAATGGCTATGACGAGATCTATGCTCGATGTAAAAACAACGGTATGATTTGTTTTCTTGAGATCGACATTGATGAATACTACTCTGCATATCAACTCATTACGCCGACTGAAACTCGAAGTGGTAATTAACACCAACATTTTGTTGAGAACTAACCCCCCATCCAAACCCATTTTGCATTCAATGCAAGCCTGATTGATAATAATATAACACCCTGTTTCGTACATATTCATAAATCATAAATCATAAATCCCATACCCAAGTCGTAAACTCAATGACAAAGTGTATTCCATTGATCCAAAATATCCTCCATATCGAATGCAATACCCCATTGTGAACATAAGCATTTAAATAGCTTTTGCATAGAATTGAGTTCATAAAGAAGATTCTTCATTGTTCCCATTGCTCTGAAAAATGAATGTTCCCCTCGAAGATATAATTCTGTCTCTGATTGACTTGTACATCCTGGTTGGATTGAAGAATTTACAACTTCATTGGTCGCCAAAACAGCTTGCCAGTCCACGATATTTGGTACGTTGACTGCACCCTGACCAGCTAGTGAAAATACACAATATACTGTTGCTGAAGCAAATAAAGAGCTTGGGATATGTATAACGTGTGCTCTACCTCGTGGTAATTGTTCCACAATCTCTTGAATTGCAATAGCGTGTAAAAGAGATTTTCGTGCTTCTTCCGTACTGGCCCAACTTATTAAATCTTGTTCCGGTTTCATGATGTTCTTTCCACCGCAAACATGTTGAACTATACCATAACGAGAACAAATTGATCTGCAAAGTAAAGATGAATCTTTACAAGCATCTAGACAAATGGTATGCCACCTTAATAAGAGTTCGAGACGTTCGGAATGTGAAAGATTTGGGCTCATTGATATAGCTTCAAAAGAGTGACTCAGAGCTTTTCGTAATTCGAGCTTTGTAGGTACACCGACTGTAGAAAGATCATCGGAATCGCAATCTGAAACCAAGGATTGAAGGCCTTCTAGAATGACTCGAAGAGAAAATGCCGAAAACGCATGAAAACTAGTAAGAGGTTGACTAGCCGGAGCAAATAGTGATCGAATGATACTTCGGAAAGAAGATTGTAAAGGTTCTTGAGATCTTATGTGATTTAGCCATTCATTGGCAGTCGTAGCCTCGAATGCTGTTTCACTACTAGGTAAACCCAATTGATTAGCAGCATGTCGAACTGATGGGGTTTCCCCAGACATTCGAGATATTAAACCATCTAATACATAATGACCCAATAACGCACGTTGTTGAATTTCTTTAGCTGCCCAAACTTTCCAAGCACGATTCTTTTCTTCATCGGTAGAGTTTTGGTTTGGTAGATTGCTCCTTGAATATGGTTCACTATCAGATATTGCGCACTGTCTTGCCCAAAAGAATCCAAGAGCATGAAATGCTTGACTTGTGGTTCGAATAATTCGATTTCTTGAAAGAGCGCCGTATATTTGAGCAAGTAGAGCTGTGACCACTAATTGTACTCCTTGACAACTATCGTAAGGACCTTGATGAGTGATTAATGTTTCCCAAGATGTCGCAACTGCTATGTGTGCAAGCCTCCATAAGGCTTCACCTTTCGCAACTGAATCTTTGGGTCCAAGATATAAAGAACCGATAGCCATGGCATTGAGAAGTAAAGGTTGAGTACATTCTCGAAAGACGAATGTTGATCGATGTAATACTGGAAATGTGGGTATGAATCTTACAAAAAACATATGTAAACATTCATCCAGGAAAACCGATGTAAGAGATGTAGCTTCAACAGCAGCCGTAACAATTGATGACTACATTTCAATGAGTAGGGAATTTATTTAAGAAGTTTTGAAAACTTACCAAACTAGTCACCATCTCACTAACATTATGTACCGCTTGATGACTTTCTCCCACCGGAATTGAACCAATTGAACCCTTCTCTTGAAATGAACCCGGTATACCAAAACTTCCATTATTTCTGTGTGATCGAGTTGTAATAGGTACTGGTAATATTCCAATTGGCATTTGCCAAGAGTTTGTTGGATCGGAAGACATTAAAGTTTCGAATAAATCTTCCGAATCTGGCCATATTAATTGAAAATCGAGATCTTCTGTCGAAGATGGTGTATTGCCAATAATAGAATGACCAGTACCTCCATCCTCCATATTTCCTTGTTGAGTTCTTGGTGTTTCAACCTGTAAATTTGTATCTATCGTCGCAGGTAACATGTTCGTGGGTATGTTTGGTTGCGACACTAAACTCGAAGGTGGTGAAGGATAATTGGGATAATTGCTTTCTCTTCGAGTGTGTAATCTTTCATGACGAGCAAGGGAATCTTGTCTTGCAAATGGTCTTCTACATTCTTTGCATACGAAGGGTCGAGATCCAGTATCTTTGGCATCATTTATATTAGCTTGCAATTCTTGATGATGAGAAGGGAATCAAATTCCACAGGGGCTTTCTTCTTACGACTTCTTTCGTGTCTCTAAATTAATTGTTAGTGAGTGTGAGATATACATCTTGATGAAATTGTATTGCTAACCCTTACATGTTCGCCTTTAGAGAAACTCTTTTGACAAAATCTACAGTCCATACCGGTGTATTTTCTTGGTGTGGGTGCGGAAGTAGGTGTGGTAGTGACTGTTGCTGTGGATTGTTTTGGTGACTCCATGATGATTGAAATAGGTGTATGATTGATTGTATGATGGAGGTATAAACTTTGACTTGCCTCACTTGACTTGTGAGGTTATCTATCGGATATTTCCTCGTCGTGAAAGGATGATTGATGTGTAAAGAAGGTAGGTAGTATTCAATAGTTCTCCCAAGGAAGGTAGGTGATACAGCATTAATTAAAAAAAAACAGTTACCAACGACGTAAGCCTTCTGGGGGAATTTGGGGGATTGGGGTATAAATGCATCTTGCCTGTAAGTAACCCCGCACAAAATCTCGGCACCGACTGACAAGCACAGGGGGCAGCAGTATCGCTTCGCATTGACCCTGGTGATCATTTTGAGTTGCATATAGAAAAGACGTACCCATTCGTCCGTGAGGGTTTCAATTTATGATGATTCCAATGCCATTTGGATCTATTCTCATATTTAGAGAAGGATACAGAACCTCGAGCAAATTGGAACACTCGAATTCCAAACTCGATTACATCCTGCTCATGAACTAGATATAAAAAATCCCATTCTTCATCCGCCTCTATTGCTAGGCGGGAGGATTTTGAAAAAGCTAGGTCATGTGTTGAGATTTTGGTGAAGTAAAAAAGATTCGCATTTTGTCATTCCGTCTACCAATAAATAATTCACAGACCAAAGAAACTCCTCAAGAAATCCATGCTGCCATCCATGCTGCCATATTGAGTCAAAGTTCATCCTACCCCTCCCAGGTAAACCCTTCTCTCTCTTCCTGACATTTACCGGAAACAGCTACTCAAATTTACTGTCGTCCTTGCTGATCAACCCACTCTTGTACATCTGCTTCAAAGTCTGCATTGTACAACCAGCTCAACTCGAATGGTTCTCTCTTCTGATCTGCCGCGTTTCCCGGTAAACGTCTCAAATCAATTTGTTGATTCAATTCCAAAACCTTTCCAACTCTCTTTTGTCTATATTCTTGCCAGAATGAAAGTGCTTTCTGGGTATCTCCCTTGTCCGACTTTGCAAGTAGCAATGCAAAGATATAAACATCTTCAAATGCTTGGTTGATACCTTGACCTGCAGAAGGAGGAATTGCATGGGCTGCATCACCAAGAATTACCACACGTCGATTCTCAGATACCCAGTTATCGAGTTTGGGAACGATGTAGAATGGCCAAACATTAATTTTGTCATGAGAAATCTTGGAAACGGCATTGTGAACGATCTCCGGGAATAGATCATTGTTGCTTTGCAAGAATTTAACACTCTCTTCCTTGTCGTTGGAGAGATCATTCCATCCAGCTCTATCTTTCTCCTCAATGCGTAATTGTTTTCCAATCAAGACCTCAGATCCATCTTCTTGTTGAGGAGCAATCACAAATGCGCCCTTTGGAGACATTATAGTGACAGGAATATGATATCCTTCCGGAAGTTGTAATTGAGATGTTGGTACAGCTGCTGTGATTCCAACCATTCCAGTGAACTTGGTCTCCAAATCAGGGTAGAGATAACGACGAACGGTCGAATGAATACCATCGGCTCCAACAAGAAGAGGTGCAGTACCAGTTGTACCATCGGTAAATTCCCATTCAACTTGTTTATCGGTCTCCGAAGTGATGTGTGAGAATTTCTTGCCGAAAGTGATGGGAATATCTTGTTCCTTGAACATTTCGAGTAATTCAGTGATAAGAATGTGTCTGTAGATTCGAAGAGCTGGGAAACCATATTTCTCTTCCGAACCAAATTCTTGAATCTCTATCAATTTTCCATCTCCAGCGGTACGATACTCAAGGTTGTCAAAGTTGTAACCCTTATGACGAAGTCTATCATAGACATTGAGGGCTTTCAAGATTTTGAGAGCGTTTGGAGAAAGCATGACAGCACCTCCGATATTCAGAGGCGCAGGACGACTTTCGTAAACTCGACATTTGATATTGTTTTGTTGAAGGGCAAGAGCGAGAGTTAGACCAGATAATCCTGATCCAATGATGGCGACTTCTTTAGAGGATGGTGTTGACATCTTGATTGACAGGATGCAAAGGATGTTGGTAAAGCTATTTGAATTCGATTCGTGGTTCTTGAGGTATTTGAGGTTGTTGGTTTTTAGATGGAAGCTATGTGGACAATATTATGCCTTTGGAATGAAGGATATTCACTCGATATATATCTTCTTTCAATCTGTTGGTGACCCATCGGCTCATATCATGACCATTAAATGGTATGATGTTCATTCACCGAATTATGCGCTGCCAGATTCAACCCTCGTGTAAGAATTCCATCCTGCATTCTTGTTGGTTCCTGCATGATCGTGTGAGATTTTGGGCTTTCGGATCCGAACCGGACTGGTTGTGCGACAGTGAGCATTTCGGCTTGTTGGTTGATTAATTCCGTAAATCTCATCCCCGGGTCCTTATATCCGAACGGCATTTTCATTTGCGCACAAATTCACCGGTCTATTGGTTTCACGCACTTAAGAGTATAGTCTTAACACCGGTGTGTTTGCTTATGAACTTATTCTCTACAATGTACCAGAATATTACATTTGAATCTACTGGGTCATTTCATATAACTTTGTTTCTTGTACATAAATAGAAAATTAAGCCACGATGACATGCAGGCATTTCCAATCGCCCAGATATCCTATTGATGATGAGAGATTCTTGGTTGTCTTTGGTACACTGGACACTTTGAAATTCTTTACGAATACCAGGCCACTCAATATTAAAGGTCGATGGTCCGATGGTCTTCCTAGCTTTTGGTCTCCCAAAGACCCGAACGACACCTAGATGGCCATGGCAGGTCATCTACAATTTTCAAGCCTTATGTCTAACAACCCAAGAATCATGTGCTCACTATACGATCTGGACCAAAGAACTCTTTCAAGACAGTAGTTAACATTCAGACATAGCTACTCAGATGTGAGGGCGGAAGACAATACCTTACTACTCTTCCTCTTATTGAGACAAGATTGTTGAAGAATAAAATCAACTGCCCTCATCTCTCCAGGAGAGTATCAAAAATGAGACAGGCCATCAATGAGCATTCCATCTAACATTGATTCGTGAAACTGCACTTACGATCACGTTAGCATTGCATGGAAAGTTTCTTCAAGTCTAATTTATACATCTAAATTCTTCCGACGAAATTCCCAAACAACAATACCAGATTGCGCGTACTAGAAGATCGAGATACTATCCACAGATTATCTAGGCAGAAGTGAAGAACAAGCGCCAAAATGAAATACATACCTAGTAATGATATCCTCAAGAGGATATGGACGAAGCTACGTTTCTATTTTATTTGATCTTCACAACGCCAAATCATCGGTCTGGAAATGAGATGAGAGTACCTCAATCCTCCATCAAGCAGCCCAAGTAAGTACAAGACATGATAGCGATTCACGGGTTGGGTAGGATAGACTCTTTGTTCGCAATAATTAGGAGAAAGCAAAAGACTACACCATTTACGCTATTCCGGCTTGCAGCTCAACGATCGATCGCTTCATGATTCATTATAGACTCTCTAGACATTCAATTCACTGAAAGACTTGGTTTATTTGGATGATTCAACTTCTTCAGAATCCATCTATTTTAAACATTAACAATATTATTGTCCTACAGAGCCGAAGACATCGCTTCCTACTCAAACCGCATTTCACCCGGTATCCCACGAGGAATACGAAAAGGTCCCGGAAGAAAGTCATACCGCTGACTACTTCACCATGAGATGTAGTCAGATTGGTGATAGAAGTATCCAATCTTCTCTTAATTGATTTGTTTTAAAGAGAGACTATTTCTTGATAATGAGACAATTATCTCAATATCTTCTTCCTTCATTCTAGTCACATTCGCCTACACAATACCCCCTTACGTTTTCACCCCACAACCCAATCAAAATGTCCAACAACCCAACACTAATCTTCATTCCCGGAGCATGGCACCGCCCCGAAATCTGGGCACAAGTAACTTCACTCCTCCAAGAACAAAACTACAAATGCATTCCCGTCGAACTCCCCTCCACAACCGGCGATGCCACGATAGGATTCGGCGAAGACATCACCGCCGTACGAAATATCATACTATCCGAAACCAGACAAGGACACGACGTAATACTAATTGTGCATTCCTACGGCGGCGCAGTCGGTCAAAGTGCAGTGAAAGGACTCACTCATCGCCTCCCAGATGATCTCTCATCTACAGATGAGAAACCGACTGGTCACGTAGTAGCTCTCGTCATGATGGCATGTGGATTTGCGCAAACGGGGATCAGCTTCATAGATGCGATTGGGGGGACTCCTCCACCCTTATGGAGATTCGACGATAGTGGATTTGCGATCTTGGAACTTCCTGCTCGAGAAGCTTTCTATCACGATCTTCCTGTAGAAGAAGGGAATTATTGGGTGAGTAGGTTGAGGAAACAATCGCAGAAGGTGTTGAACGAGGGTGGGGAGTGGGCTTATGCCGGGTGGATGGATTTGCCGGTTTGGTATTTGATGACGATGGATGATAGGACGTTTCCGGTGGAGGTGCAAGGGGCTTTTGTGAGGATGGCGAGGGATGCTGGGGCGGATGTTACGGTTAGAGAGGTTGTGAGTAGTCATTCGCCGATGTTGAGTAGACCGGAAGAGACGGTGGAATTTATTGTGGAAGCGACGGGTTCACTGGCTCGTTGATTTCATGGCTTTGCGAGGAAAAATTGTGATAATGTAGTATAAGAATCTCAACTTCGTTTACTTAGCGACGAATGCTTCAATACTTGTATGGTTCCTAATTGTCTCAATTCGACATAGACAATATCTTGATTCTGGTACGTATCACTACCAAATAACCCAGCACATTCAACACACATCAAAACTTTTATTAATGATTGAAATTAGTAATGTAAGGCCAAGTCATGCAACAAAACTATAACAGTTTACAAGAAACTTGTCTATCGGAGAATCACGTGCAGCATGTATTTTAAGTTTCCACTACACAAGTAGCTCCAGCACTACGGAGAATTCAAACCAAACCTACACAATAACGAGGAACATCATAAAAGTATTTTGAAGAAGCAGTACTTTATACCTTGAGACCGAACGACCATGAGAAAGATTCCCTGCCATATACGAAACTTCACATCACAATCCACCTCATTCAAGCTTCTCAACCATACTCCACACACCAACTTCGAATAAAGTACCCACCATGTCCAGAATTCCAACACGAGTAATGATAATTTCCGACACTCATGAACATTCCCTCAATGGAGCGGATACGCCCGAGGTGGATATCCTCCTCCATACTGGCGATTTAACCAATTTCGGTGAATTGAACGCCTTGAAAGAGTCTGTCAAGATGACGGGTACCATCGAAGCCGAATTAAAACTAGTCATTGCAGGAATCATGACATAACCCTCGATGCGCAGAACCGGGTAGAAAACATGTCTGACGATGAGTATTCAGCATAGCACCATTTCGCTCTTGAAATCATGACGGGACAATTGGCGAAAGGTGCTGGTGTTGTCTATCTTCAGGAAGGTACCCATGCATTCTCTCACTTAAGAATGGTGCTAAATTCACAGTATATGCTTCACCCTAGACGTGTGGATCTATGGGCTTCCAATACCAAATACATGAAGATCGGTTTAACGACGCAAGTCAAGTCGCTCCGGGCCAGATTTCAATCGCCACAAATCCTATTCCTGAAGGTGTTGATATTTTCATGACTCATGGTCCTCCACATACGATTCTGGACCAAGTTGATGGCTCTTATAAAGGTTGTCGTAATCTTCTTCGTGCTGTAGGCCGTGTTCGACCACTTATGCATTGCTTCGGACATATTCACGAAGGAAATGGCGCCAATCTTGTAACTTGGAAACCGGATGGTAGCGTAAAGGATCCATCATTAGCTACACCGATGGAGACAGAACAGGTCAACGAGTATCCGTGTACAAATGAGTGGCCAATCCAATCTGGAAAACAAACTCTGATGGTAAACGCAGCAATCATGATGAATACTGCAGAGGGAATGCGTCCAAATTATAAGCCTTTTGTAGTATCACTCGATCTGCCTCGCCACCATTGATGTTTTTAGTCTCGCCTTTGTTTCTGTATTTTGATTATCTTTGATAGGGATGGAAAATTGCGGATCCGGCGTTCGTGGAAGTGTGTTATGGGATTTCGAAATTGTTGATGGCGCAGCTAGTAATTCTTACCTACCTTATGTATTTGATCGTATTCTTATATCCAGATATCTTGTCATTCTCATATACTGTTCTCTTTCTCTGAAGCCATAGATTGATCGAGTAGTCTACACTGGTGGCAAGTGATAGACACAAGTAGTTTTGATATACATTGTCATAATGCTCCAAGTCATTCCCACTGGTTTCTTGCGCACTTGTTCGATTCGAAGTTTTCTTTCAGGGAAAACGCATGAGACCTCCAATATTGTTAGGCGCTTTGTGAATGTATTGTGTTTGGACCGAGATGTGTTGTCGACTCTACGAGCTTGTTTGAAGCGCAGAGGGTATGGAGGCATAAGGAAATCGAACCTCTAGGACTGTAGTAGGCATTGTAGTCTTAGATATGCAGCACTTTGTATCTTGGGTATAATAAAATCTGTCGAGATTCGAGTCTTGTTGTGAATTCGAAATTTGATCAAAAATATGGCTTCCTTTGAGAGAATCCCTTTCCACCAAATTCGGGGTAGGATAGATATGGGTCCAATGCGCGTGTCCATTTTCTGTCGCTGAACGAAAAGTCCAGTTCCTCCAATCCAATCTCTACCAATGTAAAATATATTCCTTCTCAGTTTTTTGATCGCTTCAAGAATCGCTACTTGGTCGGGTTTTTGATCCACCAACAGTGTACTAAATAAGAAGTTAGATCGGGTGGACAAGAAGATTGTACTCTGTAGCATAAATGAAGTGTAGAGCAAACCTTGCATAAAGAGCGCGGCAATCCTGCCAAGTTCCATTCTGCCTGTTTATGGGTATGAATTGAGGATGGTCATTGTGAGACTCAACAATGTCTGCGGTATAGACAGCAAGGAAGAATCTGCGGTGGATTGTCGCCGGAATCTGTTCTCATCAGAGATGATGTATCTTCGCCCTGATCTCGCAATCTACCTGAGAAGGTTTTGCAGTGGTATTGCCCACAATAGGTTTTCTGTTTTCCTTGTCGCAAACTCAAGAACGATTGTTCCTAGCCCCAAAAATGTCGGATATATTCACTCTCTCCAACCATTCCTCGCCCAAGTATTGTAGATGGAAGTGCAGGTAGCCATTTTGGCGGCGCATACAAAATCAAAGAGTGTAGGCTTCGTCGCAGGACTTTTTCCATAGTAAAAAGGCCTGTCGTGGTGATCAATTCTTAAGATTCGTATGTGCGAGAGAAAAAAGTAGATAATTTGCAGGAAAAGGGTTTGTTGTGAACCTTTGGATGTCGAACTGATGCAACTCTCTCGGTCGCGAGACTCCTTTTTTTCATGGCGCAACAACAACACTTAGTATTATTGATCGCAGTTGAGATATTCATAAACTAGTTCATGTTCTCGATCTCTCTTGTGCTCGCCAGTCACTTTTGAGGTCGCCTGCGGATGGAATCTAAATCACCAGAATCCACGCCGACATCACTGCAAACCAACATTCTCGGAAAAAGTATCTTTCAAGACCTGGCGCATATAGCCGTAGCTGAACTGAATCTGACTCCCAATTTTCAGAGTCTTAGGACCATTGTTGGTGGTGCAATCGTAAATTCCATTTTCGCTGATGTCGAAAGTCGTCAAAATGGTTGTCGCACAGTAGCCCAACGAAACGGCGATCTTAATAACAACAAAACCTGATCTTAGAACTTGACCAAACTTTGGCATAATACTGAAGTATATCTTCTCAAGGGAGTATTAAAGTTTCAAAAACTTCTACCGCGTTGAACTCTCACAATCCCCAAATGAATGTTTTTGGGACTTTTTTGGACCAATGGGAAGCCTTCCACGTGATGATTTTTGACCGACAAAACGTTTTGTTGCACGTCTATGGGCATTTTGAAAAATGGGGCTTTTTGGAAATTTTGCAATTTTTTGCAGATTTACACGGCTCTCAATTGCGCCATTTCAGGAAAACTATCGACGTTCGATTCTGACAAGAATTGGGGATGGTGTTGTTGGTTTTCGTTTTTGACGGTTTTGGCGTCGGGTCGTTAACTTCTTCGCAAATTCTTCGTCTGATATCACTTATCACTTCAAATTCACTCTCATGGCCCGATTCGGTAATCCTCTCGGTATGATTTATCCCGTAAGAGCCGTAAGGGTTTCAAGTTCGGGAATGGATTAATAAGTGCGGTCGACGTCACTCATATCAAGACTCACTACCCATCATACCGTACCACCCAAGTTTCATCCGATCAGACTTCAGTCGGCAAATCACTCAGCGAATCACTCAGCAAATTATGCCTAGTATTGATGAATAAATACCTTTCTGCTAATAATACCATTTCCCATCTGAGAGTATGCTCCCAAAACTTAAATCACCTCTATCACCTCACTTAGTACTCTATCTACTCTACCATCGTACATACATGAATCAAAGTTCTCTGAGTCCATCGACTTCATCAACACCCAGCTGAACCTACCCAGTACCTCTTCCTCAACCTATGCGGCTTACCCTCATTCATCATATGTGTAAGACCGCAATCATGATGATGCACCGCAATTATCTCATCACCACAGGAATAACTTTCTGACTGCTACGATGTTGTTGTACACATAGTGGAGAGTATATCTGCATGCATGGCAAATGCTTATTCATCACTCCTCAGCCGTAAGTAGTGTTCCAGAGAGGCTCGATCTGCAAAGCACTTGATGACAACACGGCGAGTACTTTCGAAGGATGCTTGGTCTCGTATTGGTGACTGGGGGTATATTTTGGGCAAGTGAATCGTTTGTCGCGGTCGAGGAGCTCTCTATTATTACAATGACTAGCACCATGGATATATTCAAGTTGTCACATTTTTTTTCAGATATTATGCTTTATTTGCTTCGAGTCTATTCACGTACTTTTAGTGTATGTTTAATTATGTATAATGTATATGCTAATGGGATTTGTTTCCTTTCTGATAATATCTTCAACGAAAAAAAATGGCTGGAGGAGGTGAAGCATGGGTGGGAAGCGCGACCAAATATGTTATTTACTCTCTGTTTTGAAGTCTAGGTCCTAGAATAAGTCTGGCTTGACTAGTCAACGATTAGCCAATATCTTGGATATGCGGCATACGAGTGGTCTCTTGCCAGAGAGTGGATGAGTGCCATAGAAATTGTTCTCGTAATACCCTGGGCTCGACCAGAGCGCGTTGTGGCAGTAATGGACCAAATATTTCTTCGAAGAAACCTGGAAAGAACAGGACATCAATCAAAGATCTGGAAAGAGACTTTTCAAGACAGAAGCACACAACAAACCTGTAGTCGTCATTGAGCTTAGCCCTGTGTTGGGCAGGGCAATCTGCAAACCCGTGCGCCAGATTACATCGTGGATACTCTAAGATGTAACCCTTTGGATCTGGTAGATTCTTTCACTGATGCACTGTATGCCCCATTTTCCTTCTGTATATAGATTCAAGTCGTAGAGGTGGGATTTTTCGTCTGCCACTTGAAGAATGTCATTTAAGCTCCCGTCGTCAAGGACTACCATTGTCGGAACGAAGGTGGTGACATTAGATCTTGGAAATCCTCCATATTGTTGACCTCAAAACATCGCATGTTGAGAATCCAGTCGATGCTGATTGTTGTCTAGATTTGGGGCCATAGCTGTGGCAGATATCGCGGATGGACTTGAGACATTGGGGATTGAAGATTGTTGTTTAAGTTTGAGTGTTTGATATCTTTAATCTGTTTGAAGAAATCAAGTTTGACTGCTTAATTAGGATCAAAAGTGAATTTCCTTGGGTAGTATAGCCAATAGAGTGCTTCTACTATTTCAATTCACGATAATGACAGCAAATTCTTAGTGAAGTATGAAATATTTAAATTCAAGAACTACCTATATACTCCTAAACTCTCATGACCCCCAATCCCTTCTAAGAAAGTTTAAGAATACATCCAAACAATTTTCCCCTTATAATATTTATGCGCTCCTGAATCTCTAAATGCCACTGAGACTATCAACCCTCTTCCCAAAATAATTGGTAGGTGCTGCTACCATTCCATCATTCTCCCTTTCTATCTCCCTCTTCTTAATCCCCAAACTCTTCTTCACTTCTCCCAAGCTCATTCCCCCAATCAATCCTCTCACAGCCTCAAAAATCACCGCCTCAAATGCTACAATCTCTGTTTTCGACACACAGTTCGTATCATACTCCAATCGCAACGCAATCGCATCATCGGAAAGCACTGAGAATTCCACCAGGAGCGCAAATTTACTTCCTTCAGTATATGTAATCAGAGGATCCACACCTTCCATCATCGTCTTGGGAGTACGATTATCGTGGAAAGTTACCATAACATCGAGCAGTGGATGGTTTGGAAAACGCGCTTTGGTGGAAGTGGCGCTGAGGATTTGATCCCAAGGCATAGCATGTGCGATGGCTTCTTGGCTGGAGGTTTGCACAGCGCGGAGGAAGGATGTGGATGATAATTCGGAGGTGGAAGGTTGGCGGATACGAATGGGGAGAGGCTCGAGGAACAATCCGACGGTTTCGAGATCTTTGGCTCCGCGGTTGAAGTAGGGACCTCCCAGTACGATGTCAACATCGTTTTGATCGTGTTGAAGTGAAAGAGCTACGGCACCCAGTGCCATTTGGTGAAGTGTAACTTTTTTCTCATCCGTAAATTTGAGGATTTGACGGGTGAGATTTTGGGGAAGCTTGGTAAGACGAGTACGTCCGGTATATGTGGTACGTTCTACGATATTGGGGAGGGTGTAGGTTTGGGATGCTCCGTGGAGATATTCTTTCCACCATTTTTGCTCCGCTGGTGTGGCTGTGGTGCTCCATTGTGTGGTATCCATATATGTATGCTCGACAGGTGGTAGTGAGTTACCGCTGTAAAGCGTGGTAACCTCCTTGAGAAGTACTTCGAGGGATGTCAAGTCTGCGATTATGTGGCTCATTGATGCAAGCATTGTGTTTCTGGAAAGGAACAATCGGATGGGATGTTGACGTTCCAAATCAAAAGGTCGATTGCATTCTCTCCATAGACCAAATTTGTTGACTGTCTTGATCTGAGGTGGGAATCGGTCATAACCTCTTTGTACAACTCCTTTTGGCCCATTTCTTATGTATCTGCAGCGAAGAATACGGTGTCGTGATAGTACTGTATTCCATGCTGAGATCAACTTATCGGTATCAACAATATTAGTGTCGATTGCACAGGCGTAGGTAACATTGAATGAAGATGTTCCGATATTCAATCTATACTTCTCCCACCATTCACGCTCAATAGGTGAAATTCTGTATTTCCCAAGTGGAATCAATGCATCATCAACGTCAGTAGGTTGAGCTTGAGCACAAAGATTCTCGATGATCTTTGCCATTTCAAGCAGATTGGCCGACTGCATGATGTGTGAAACCGTCATCCTGACATGGAAGATTTCGGAAAGTTTACTCGCAAGACGAAGTTGCATAACGGAATGACCTCCGAGTGAAACGAATTCAGAATCTCTGGTAATCTCCACATTGGATTCGAGTCCCAACAACTCCTTCCATGCTTCAGCAATCCTAACTTCGGTCGAACTTTCGATTTTCTTCGGGGTGGACTCTTTTTCTGCCAGGGTCATGTTGGTAATGGACTTATAGTCTAATTTTCCAGCAGGTGTCATTGGGAATTTTTCCACAGCCAGGAATACCCGAGGAACAGCATGAACAGGTAATACTTGAGTAACCTTTGCTCTAACCTTTGCAACATCGAGTGTCTCTGGTTGAACTATAGCAACGAGGTAATCACCCTTTTGACAAATAGCGATACCAGAACATTCCGGGATAGCTTCCGCCACTCGAATCTCCAAATCATTAAGATCAAGACGGAAACCACGTAACTTTATCTGTCGATCATTTCGTCCCAAACATTCTACTTCACCAGCGCGGTTGAAGTATCCCCGATCACCAGTTCGATACATCATTTCACCTTGACGATCGCAGATGATATCGGGAAGAAATCGCTCGGCGGACATTTGTGGCATACCGATATATCCTCGTGCAACTTGTACACCAGCAAGGTAGATTTCTCCAATCACACCTGGTGGAAGAAGTTGTTGGTTTCGGTCGAGGATGTAAACTCGAGTAGTGGGATTTGGTGCTCCAATATTGACTGGCTTTCCAGGAAGTAGACGTTTGATGGTAGCTCCACAGGTGGCTTCAGTAGGACCATACATATTGTACAGATTCTTAACACTAGACCACACATCATTGACATGTTGTGGAACTGGCTCGCCGACAAGATATACATTTCGCAGCATGGGAAAGTCTTCTGGATCCAGAATATTGGCAATAGATGGTGTCAAGATCGCAGCTGTGGATTTCTCTAGGTGAGAAAATGGATGAATGCCATCTGCTAGAACAATGGTAGCACCATAACTTAGAGCAGAAAATATCTCGTGGATACTTCCATCGAATGCTGGTGACATCAATTGAGAGATTCTTTGACCTGGAAGTGCGAAAAGTCGAACAGCAAGATCTTTTTGGAATGCTACTAGGCCTTCGTGACTACACATCACTCCCTTGGGCTTACCAGTGGAACCAGATGTAAAGCAAAGATATGCATTATCCGCAGGTCGAGGTGCTTGTCTTGGAGCGACTGCTAAAGAGCTTGGCATAGGTAATTGGACTAAATCTTCAACCGAAAGACACAACTTGCATGATTCCGGCGCAATTTTTCGTTGAGAT